TTAAATATTATATTCATTGATAAGTAAAATGGTGCTATTATTATTAAACATAGATTATGCAAAAGCTAAATCTGCCTATTGCAGGTCTTTCTTTAGGCCTTAAGAGTTATATAAATTATTAATTAGACATTTATTAAATGATAATCAACTCTCGATGCCATCTGATGGGTCCGATATTAAACAGATTTGAATCTGATCTATGCTTTAACAGCTGTTGATGATTAACCATAAGAATGGACAATCAAGACTTTGTTTATTATTATAACAATGGTAGCAATGACAATCAAGGCTACTGTGTTTAATGTGTTATTAAAATGAGTTTTTCTCGGCTCAGAGTGAAGTAATTTGACTAAAATGTTTTTTAACTATCCGAGTGAGAACTGTCTGCTCTTTATCCAATTCTCCCTAATGCCGCTTAAAAAAACAACCTAAAGCTCCGCCAGTTGAAGTACGATCAACATGAAACTTGTCTTGTTTGTTCCTTGGACAATTGACAGTCTTCAACTCCAAGTTGGCTGCTATGAGGTGATGCTGAGTTTCTGGTCCATGTTGTTTTATTTTTGTGTACATAATATTTTATATATGGTATAATTACCAGATACTATCTTACTGGGAACACATGCAGTGTAAAACAATTTCTGTTATTATATTCTAATATCTTTGTATTCGTTCATTATACTAATGCATTTTCCACACAATTATGGGATTCTGGCTTGTCGCGTATAGTGCTGAATTAGTAACGAGGAAAAATTAAATGAAATGGGGTTTAACGTCCTACTGTTCTGCTCCAACTGGGCTAATAAAGACAGGCATACACCATACAGTGTGCTATGAGGGAAATTTTGCCAGGATGGCGGCACTACGGCCTACTCTTATATCGAATTCCAACTGTCAAAGGATCTTTTATGTGCATGCCGATGTGTACACAGGACCTCGTTTTTTTTCGTCCCATCCAAACGACTATACATTGTCCCTTGCCAGGCCCTCTGTCCTGCAACTCTGACATCGGGGAACCACATGGGAAAAACCTGATGTACTTTCTCATCCAAAGCAGGGATCGAACATGGGAGCTTGACATTAGCAAGCCAACATCTTACTCACTGAGCCATAGTGGTTCCCCTGCTAACCAGGATGTTGAATTATCTAACTTTTCACAATTCAAATTAAATTTATTATTTAAAGATGCATTATGTAAAATTTAGATAAAGAGCTGGACGTTCTTGCAATATAAAAATGAATACAGCTAGGTATATTGAAAATTTCATTCAAATTACTTTATTCTGAGTAAAGATGTGGGTGTTTAACATCTACTCGACACAAACTTCAATTTCATTTCAATAATCCGCATGTGCATAGGGGTCTTTAGCAGTGGGAGGAAACCGAGGGATCCAAAGAAAACCCACGAGGTTGGACTCCTTGTCACATACAAGCGTGGAATCGAAACCACGCCACTTTACTCAATGACAGACCTTGTGATTGATTTTGCCACCCAACCACCTGCAACTTTATGCAAAACATATCATACTTTTATAGAAATATTTGTACCCCATGTGTTTTATGTATAATTCGTTTTATGTTTTCATGTTTTGTTATTTCAGGCAATAATTGTCAGACTAATATTGACGAATGTCAGTCGACACCATGCCAAAATGGTGGAACTTGCCAGGATCAAGTGGCTGGATACACATGTCTATGTGTGCCTGGATACACAGGAATACAATGTCAAACAAATATTGAAGAATGTGATTACGGATTCTGTCGGAATGGAGCGACGTGTACAGACGCAGTGAATGATTATACATGCACATGTGCTCCTGGTTGGAATGGAAAGAACTGTACTGGTAATATAGATGAATGTGCATCAGGTCCCTGTGGATCGGGTTCAACCTGTATAGATGGTGTTAACAGTTTTACCTGCCAGTGTTCTCCTGGGTAAGTTGGTTATTTGGTGGACCGATATCCAATATTTAAGACAAAATGAAAATTTTAAAATTGGCACATGAATCCCATACCAGAATGCTTTCGAGTGCCATTTGTAGTGAAGCGAATCGATGAACAAGGCTAAACATAACCCACAGGAGAACACCAGTGCCAAAGACGGCCATTGAATTTGGACTCTTCGCGCATTTCACCTAATGTAACTGGTTAGAAATTACAGTAAAAACAGAACGATTGAATGTAAATCATATTATATACATTCATAATAGGCTACATTATAATATACATTGCGTCCCATTTATGTCCCTTTCTAGAGATTTAGCTCCTTTAAAGTCTGTCATCAATTCAAACGTCATAGTGTTGATCCCATGCCTGTATATAACAAGGTGTAGTGTTACATTCTTTGTGAGTTTTCTCTGGGTTCCCTGGTTTCCTTCTTTTCGACAAAACACATACAAGCATATTATTAAAAAAAAATTACATATATCTTGGGCCCAAATTGAACTAATTAAGTGATGGTTAAAAAACCCTATTCTTTCTCCCTCATATTATCTGAGCAGAAGAGATTAAATGCCATTGAAAAAAAAAAAAAAAAAAAAAAGCATCTGATGCCATTAAAAAAATAGCAAGCACATTCTTGGTTTATATAAAAAAAAAACATCTGACGTTTAAACAAACAATATGGTGGCCGATCTTGTTAACCTACCATTAACATTTACTTCATCTCCATAATGCATGGTTTCTTTTTGTTTGCCTTATTTGATATTTCTGCCATCAGGATGTTCCTTGTGCCAATTAATTACATTTTTTCTGGCTAATTAGCTATTAGAACTGGCGCCATGATCTTTGAGATGAGAGATTCTGTAGCCTACAGGTTAAAACCATAAAATTATCCTCTATGCTGTCGTCATCGTGAAATTTTGTCCTATTATAAAACAAGTATTATTCTAAAGCCATCCTCTTTTGGTAATGCTTCCACTTTTGACTTCAAGGATAAATTGATGACGTTATAATTGTCTGACCGTCCTACATTTCTTTACCGACTGGGGCTAATAAAGACGGGCATACACCATAAAGTTTGCTGTGAGGGAATTTTGTCTGGACAGCAGCAGTACGGCCTATACTCTTATATAAAATTCAACTTCAAATTTCCTCTTTCATGCACATCAATTTTTTTCTTCCCATCTGAACAACTAGATACTGTCCTTGCCAGGCCCTCCATCTTGCACCACTGATTAGCGAACCAGCATCTTACTCACTCAGCCACCACGACCAGGTTGCTATGCTTTCGTAGGTTGAAAGCAGGGGACTATTAAAATGGGTCTGTCAGTCACACTTTTTGGGAAACAATAACCCTGCTTCTAATTGAGCTAGAATGTTCAAACTTAGTGTAGGTGTTTATTAGTTGAGTTTTAATTAAGTATAAGAGTGCTGGAATTTGGTGTATAGTTTCATTACATCAATACCTTGACTAAGTTAGATAATGAGCATTTTCTGTTCAGGCAGAGCAATAAGCAATTTGACTGATGGAGAGTGATAAAACTTAGTGTATAGTTTCGCTCTCTACCAGGTACGTCAAAACCGAAGTTTGATAGTGAACATTTTATGCTTAGACTAAGTATAGATAATCAGTTTGATAGCTCAATACTTTTGAAAAAGATAACTGTGCAATTAATTATTATGTGTCATCTGTTTATTTTGGGATTTCCACGGGGACATCAGCCTCACTGTTAGCTTGTTTTTATTTATTCATTATTCTAAATGCTTTCATGACAATGGAAAGAAAATACAAATTTTTATATATGTTTAGATTTTTTACTGGTGCGCTTTGTAATGTTTTATATATTTCTAGGTTTGCTGGTGCAATGTGTAACGTTTTGTAAATTTCGATGTTTACTGGTGCACTGTGTAATGTTTTGTATATTTCTGTGTTTACTGGTGTACTGTGTAATGTTTTTTATATTTCTAGGTTTACTGGTGCACTGTGTAATGTTTTGTATATAATTGTGTAATGTGTTTGTGTATTTCTAGGTTTACTGGTGCACTGTGTAATGTGTTTGTGTATTTCTATGTTTACTGGTGCACTGTTTAATGTTTTTGAATATTTGTAGGTTTACTGGTACACTGTGTCAAGTTGATATCAACGAATGCTCCTCGTCTCCATGTTTAAACGCTGGCGTATGTGATGATGTCATCAATGGCTATAGATGTAATTGTCCAGTAGCGTGGACAGGATCACGATGTGAGATACAGGTTAACGAGTGTTTATCTTCACCATGTGGTAATAATGCTACGTGTACAGATCTACTGGGAAATTATACCTGTAATTGTTTAACAGGCTTCACAGGTGAGTCAGTTATGATTATCCTTTACAGATGTATGACAAGTTGAGGTCCTGTGTATACAACTGGAAGCACGATAGAAATCCTGGACAGTTGGAGAGAGAGAAAAATTGGGATTTAATGTCCGTTCGAATCAAATTAGGTTATTTTGGGACTAACACATTTTTCAATTTTATTTCCATAATAAGCAGTGGGAGGATACCAGAGGTCCCTGAGAAAACCCACGAAGTTGAGGAGTCGATCCTACTCCTTGTCACATACAACCCGACAATTGGAAATCAAAATAAGATAAGGACAGCTGTCTAGTCGTTCGGATGGTATGAAAAACCGAGGTCTGGTGTACACATTGACTTGCACATCCCTTGGCAGTTGGAATTTGATACAAGAGTATTCCATAGCACTGCTGTCAGGGCAAAATTTCCCCCATAGCACACTTGATGTCGCATGCCCGTCTTCATTAGCCCAATTGGAGCAGAACAGTAGGATGTTAAACCCCATTTCATTTCATTTTGGAGCAAAATTTACCTCATAACATTGCATAGCATATGCCTGTCTTCGGGTACAAAAAATAGAACATCAAACACCTGTTTATTTCATTTCATTAAACCCCATTATGTCTGTGTCGTAAGGACCCTTTTACAAATGGTCAAAAGATATTTGAAAGTGTATGTACGTCATGTTATTTAAATTACTTAAAAATTTAAACTTCTTTATTTCCAGGTAGAAATTGTGAAATTAACATTGACGATTGTACTGGTCGGCCATGTTTGAATTCTGGAACTTGTGTGGATGGCATCAACTCGTTCTCTTGTCGATGTCTCCCAGGTTACACAGGGACAGATTGCAGGATAAACATTGACGAATGTGCAGCCCAGCCATGTAGAAATGGTGGAACTTGTGCAGATGGCATAAATAGATACACATGTTCTTGTCCGTCTGCCTACACAGGACAAGATTGTGAGATGAACGTCAACGAATGTGATTCCAGTCCGTGTCAGAATAATGGAACTTGCTTTGATGCCATTGGAAGATTTTTCTGTCAGTGTATCACTGGCTTCACAGGTAGCCATAACAAGTTCAGATATTTTTTATAACAAATATTAAAATGATGTTCACTTGAATTGAAATCTTCAATTTTAGAGGCCTGAAAACACAATTTTTAGATTTCTGAAAAAAAATTACAAGTATAATCAGCTTGGGAATTTCTCAAAGTAAATCAAATGAAATGAAATTGGGTTTAACGTCCTACTGTTCTGCTCCCAACTGGGCTAATGAAGACGGGCATACGCCATACAGTGTGCTATGAGGGAAATTTTGGCCGGACAGTGGCACTACGGCCTACTCTTATATTGAATTCCAACTGTCAAGGGATCTTTTATGTGCACGCCAATGTGTCGACGGGACCTTTGTTTTTCTTCCCATCCAAATGACTAGACATCTGTCCTTGTCAGGCTCTCCATCCTGCATCACTGACAAGGGTGAAACCACGCTGCAAAATCTGGATGAACTTTCACAGCCAATGCAGGGATCGAACACCTGACCTCCAGGCTAGCGAGCCAGCGTCTTACTCTCTTAGCCACTGTTGTAATATCACTCAGTAATAAACGGTAACTGTATTCCATATAATTGTGTCCCATTATAATTTTTGAATGTTTAGATTTCTGAAATAAATTCCGGTGTCAACAACTTGGGAATTCCTCAAAGAAAATCCTAGGTGGAATATTACTCAGTAATCCACTGTAATTGCTCAGTAATAAACAGTAATTGCTCAGTAATCCACACTAATTGCTCAGTAATCCACACTAATTGCTCAGTAATAAACAGTAATTGCTCAGTAATAAACAGTAATTGCTCAGTAATAAACAGTAATTGTATTCCGTAGAATTATATCCTGTGTAATTCCAGTTCAATTACTAAATACCATTAAAATAATTTATTGCTCTAGTTATGGAAAATAATTTTTAGATTTCTGAATGATTTTACCAGTATAAACATCTTGGGAATTCCTCAAAGAGAATCCTAGTTAAAATATCGCTCAGTAATAAACAGTAATTTAATTCCAGACACTTGTGTCCCCATATAATTGGGAGCCATGGTGGCTCAGTGAGTAGGATGTTGGCTCCCTGTGTTTACCGGGAAAGTTCATCAGGATTTTCCGGGGTGGTCCCCCCTTGTCAGTGATGCAAGACAGAGGGCCTGGGAAGGGACAATGTATAAACATTCAGAAGGGACAAAAAAAACCAACAAGGTCCCATGTACACAAAGGAATGCACATAAAAGAACCCTTAACAGTTGGAATTCGATATAAGTGTAGGTCATACTGCCGCTGTCCGGGCAAAATCTCCTTCATAGCACACTGTATGGCGTATGCCCGTCTTCACTAGCCCAGTCGGTGCAGAACAGTTGGATGTTAAACCACATTTCATTCGTTCATTCCCATTATATTTTTAATAATTTTTTTTTGTTTTGTATATTTTTAGGAGATCGTTGTGAAATAAATATAGATGATTGTTCAACTCCCAGACAACATCAATGTATTAATGGTGCCACCTGTATAGATGGGGTTAATTCTTATAATTGTTCATGTGTATCTGGATGGCAGGGACAATTTTGTCAAACGGTAAACTTTTTTTGATTTGCTGTTCTATAGTTTAAGATTTTAAAAGCTGGAAGCTACTGAAATATAATGTCAATACCATTTATTATAGGGACACGTTACAGAGAGAGAGAGAGAGAGAAATGGGGTTTAACGTCCACTCGGTTGACACTAGGTCATTTTTGGACTAACACATGGTTCAATTTTATTTCATTAATTCGCTTGCGCATAGGGGGTCTTTAGCAGTGGGAGGAAACCGGAGGACCCGGAGAAAACCCACGAAGTCCTTGTCACGTACAACCAGGGAATTGAAACCACACCAGTTGACTCAATGACAGACCTTATGATACACGTGCTAACCATTCGGCCATCCAACCCCCCACACATGTTACAGGTACTGCTCATAACCTGTTACATTGTGATGTTGGGGACTGTCATTCTGTCGAAGTCACTTTTGTGACCATTGTTAGTCACTTCCGTTTCCATTGTCAGACACTTCTGATAGTCCCGATTAATAAGTCTTTTACTTTTATCACAATACCTGACAAGGACAGCTGTCTAGTCGTTAGGATGGGACAAAAAAACGAGGTCCCGTGTACACATTGGCGTGCTCATAAAAGATCCTTTGGCAGTTGGAATTCGATATAAGAGTAGGCCGTAGTGCCGCTGTCCGGGCAAAATTTCCCCTCATAGCACAATGTATGGCGTATGCCCGTCTTCATTAGCCCAGTTTAGGAGCAGAACAGTAGCATGTTAAACCCCATTTCATTCAATTTATCACAATAACTGCCATAGTGACTCAATCCTAGTGTTTATCAAGAATGATCAAGTCTGGTTTACTTGATCAGTAATGCAGGACTGAGATTCTGGAAAGAAAAAATGTCTAGGCGTTAAAATGATACCCAAAAAAACCCAACGTTTATCCACACTTGTAAAATCGTTGCCCGGCACGTAAAAGAAACCTTGTCAGTTGGAATTTAATTAAAAATAGTCGAAAACTATGGTGTCAGGACGAAATTTCCTTAAGAACACACTGCATAGTATCCAGTATCATTAGCCTGGTTGGTGCAGATAAGATTGACTCTAAATCCACTATGGCCCCTTTAATTCATCTCACGCATTTGTCCGTCTGTTATTTCAGGAAGTAGATGAGTGTGCTTCTAGTCCGTGTATAAATGGAGCAAGCTGTATAGATCAGTTTGGAGGATATACATGTTCCTGTCCCCCACAGTTCCAGGGACCAACATGTAATCTAGATAAAGACGAATGTCAGGCCACCGTGTCTATTTGTTTAAATGGCGCCACATGTCTCAATACTTATGGTAGTTATAGATGTCAATGTCCACCAGGTAAGCCAAGATAAACATGATTTTACATTAATTAGTCAAATTTCAGACTTGGAAGAAGAAGAGAGCCAGTTTAATAGGATACATTTTTTATTGTTATGACAATGGGTCCTATTTTCCATACTCTTCAGACTTTCACTTGTCTGTTGAAGGTATGCCCAGTCATTCCAATTGGATGGAGAGAGAGAGAGAAATGGGGTCTAATGTCCACTCGACACAAACTAGGTCATTTCAGGATTAACATATGGTTCAATTTTATTTCAATAATTTGCTTGCTCGGAGGGGTCTTTAGCAGTGGGAGAAAACCAGAGGACCCGGAAAAAACCTATGGGGTTGAACAGGGACCACGCCAGTTTACTCAATGACAGACCTTATTGATACAACATAATACACATGCTAACCATTTGGCTATACAACCCCCCCCCCCCTCTAATTTGATGGAAAATCAAGTTCCACGATTGTACCAATTGGTGTGAATACAACAGGACCCGTGACAATCAAAGGAGAGAAAGTGGAAACACCACTATCCATGAAAAATTCTGCTTACTGGCATTGCACACATAAAAATAAATAGTACCTATGTTAATCCAGTATTCCCCAAATGACCAAAGTATTCTTATGATGATGAAACATTGGAACTACTTTCCATTCTATTTCCAAACCTTATCAGGGGATGATTGACCTAGTGGATTTCTATTTGTGCCAAGTAGTAGGACTTTCTCTTTATACTCCGCTTTCCATAAACAGGCATTATGTAAGATGCTAAATCTGCCTATTATTAACATGACAAAACCATATAACTCTTGATGCCATCTGATGGCTCCGATATCAAGTAGATTAGAACGGTTAGATCATATTATGATTTAATTTAAAAATGGAAAAGCAAGGTGCAAAGACTTGAATGACCAGTACAGTAGTTACAATCGATGCACACACATTGTCAAAACTACAACCATTGATAACTTCGCTCAAATAAAGTAAATTGAATGACATTTTCAACATATTCATTTTGCATTATCTATTTTTGAAATATTATAGGGAGAACTGTCAGCTCTTTATTTAAATCTTACATAATACCCCTTTAATCATCTAAAAATTCCTAGTCTTGCACACACTGAAATTATAAAGTTTTGTCATATGTTAGTCCAGGACGGAGGGCCTGACAAGGACAGCTGTTTAGTCGTTCGGATGGGATGGAAAACTGAGGTCCTGTGTACATATAAGAGTAGTCTGTTGTGTCGCTGTCAGCGCAAAATTTCCCCCATAGCACACTGTATGGCGTATGCCCGTCTTCATTAACCCTGTTCGGAGCAGAACAGTAGGATGTTAAACTCCATTTCATTTCATTTCATATGGTTAGTTCGAATATGACCTACCAACAATGTGAAGTGGATGTATAACTCAATTTCACCCTGTTGCCAATCACTATTTGAAACACTATGATTGTAAAAACAATCTGAATCATATTTCTTCCAAAAGATATTTTGAATTTATTTTTTGTTTATGTCAGGTGTAACAGGAAAGAACTGTGAACAGAACATAGATGAGTGTCTAAGTCAGCCATGTTTCTTCAATGGAACGTGCGTAGATTTAGTTAACGGCTATCGATGTGACTGTGTAGATGGGTTTATGGGTACAAACTGCGAGGCGGTGGTACGTAGATGTCAGTTTGAACATCCATGTGGAGATAACTCCGTCTGTGTCGAAAATCCCAGTGGTAAGATTGCTCTGTTTGTTTTTTTTAGAAGTAATACAGGCTTTTGGTCTAGATTTATTAAATGATGGGTATATCTTGGTTGTTTTTCTTTGAAATCTTGTGATTTTGAATATTCTGGAATGTTTGAAGCAATTTGAGGTCTAATTTCACTTCAAAATTGCATTCGCTAATCAATTTTAAAGACCTCCTTCCAGTCAAATTCAGTGCCAGTCAGTCAAAATTGACAAGTATAACTGAAACAAGAGCATTTATCCAATCTACGTCAAGAATACACACCAAGCTGCGACAAAATATAGATATAAGATATTATCCATCTGTCACCACTCTTTAGTAAACCATAGTTAAGCCACAGAATGTTTCAATTAATAAGTTCATCTGTATCGAGGAGCATAACAGATGGGGGTAGGTCATGATGTGCCCCAGGCGACTCTTTGTATGCTTGGCATGTAATTTGCATAAGCCATAAGGTCGCATTTATTGTCTACTGCATTAAAAAAATAGATGCCCGACACAATTATTATTTGTTTTCAGTTTAAATACGGTTATTATGACTTGTGTTGTGTTGTTCACTGGTGTGTGTGTGAGGGGGGGGGCTATTGGCAAATGTAAGGACCACCCTGGTCGATCGGCACAAACAATAGTTACACCACTGTCTGTATACTTATCTTCCCAAAACATCTGATACCACTTCTCATTTATGTTTATTATAATACAGGAGGTTATAAATGTTGTTATATGTTTATTATTATCCATGCAGGAGGTTATAAATGTTTTTATATGTTTATTATTATCCAGGAGGTTATAAATGTTATTGTAAACCTGGTTACCAAGGTGATAGATGTCAGTTTAATATAAATGAATGTTTATCCACACCGTGTCGTAATGGTGGTTCATGTCGAGATGACGTCAACAAGTTTGTCTGTTCCTGTTTACCAGGTAAATTTGAATATCACAATAACTCGAGCTATTTAAAATTACATTGTGTTTTAATTTCCTACTTTTCTGCACCGACTGGGCTAACTCTAGCTATTTAAAATTTCAATGGAAGAGAGAGCGAGAGAAATGGGGTTTAACGTCCACTCGACACAAACTAGGTCATTTCGGGACTAACATATGGTTTAATTTTATTTCAATAATTCGCTTGCGAGTAGGGGTCTTTATCAGTGGGAGGAAACCGGAGGACCCGGAGAAAACCCACGAGGTTGGAAGAGAGAGAAATATGATTAGCCATCCGCTTAGAATGAATTAAATGGTCCAACTTTTTTTCACCGACTGGGCTAACTGTGGTTATTTAAGATTACACTGGAAAGGATAGAAACAAATTGATGATATACGATTAAAATGAATGAATGGAGTTTAACATCCTACTTTTTTGCACTGTCTGGGTTAATTCTGGTTATTTAAGTTTTCAATGGAAATAGAAACTTAATTAACGTTAGGATTAGGCGTGTTAGAAGATAAGCAAAAGACAAATAGTATGATTCCATTACAATCAGATTCTAATTCCTTTCGTTTTTTTTAGTTCAAAATTTTGTTTTAATTGTCTTCACTACCTAGGATTTGGTTCTGGTTGAAGTGAGGGATTAGCCAATGAAACGGTCTGTTACGGCTAGTTATTGGCGTGCGATGCACAGAACTGTTGGTAAACCATTAGAAATATCAACGCTGATTGATTAATCAATGTCTGACATCATAGGGTCAAAAGCCACTCATTTGACCTCTACAACGACCTTCCACTACAACCGGTCAGATCTTTATGTAGTGTAGGCCATCAAAAGTATAAAAAAAACGAAACAAAATATAGATCTGTATTCTAATCAAATTGATTCCATTAGTAATTCATCACATACTTCTGTTCAACACAAAATTTGATCATTCAATAATTTTGTAGCATTAATTCAACTATATGATACTTTCTATATTTGTTCCGTGCAAACCATTGGTAGAATCTTAAAGATACCCTAACAGTTAAAAATGGAAACAAGGGTATGCTATCTGTTCAAAATTTCCCTCATAGCACATGTACCGTACACTGTATGGTGTATGCCTGTCTTAATTAGCCCAGTGGATGCAGAAAAGTACTTTTTTTTTGGTTACAATCAGAAATAACTAAATATTATTAACAAACTGTAATTGTTATTATTAAAATATAATTTTACCAAAGTCATTAATTTTTTTTGGTGTTTCAGGTTTTACTAAAATGATTTTTAAAAATGATTTTACTAAAGCCGTTAATTTTGTGTTGTGTTTCAGGTTTTACTGGGAATCAGTGTGAAATTGATATCAATGAATGTTCCAGTTCACCATGTCAAAATAACGCCACATGTAATGAACCCGCTCCAAATATGTACAGATGTCAGTGCATTGTGGGATATACTGGTATTAACTGTGAGACTAATATCAATGAGTGTTCATCCAATCCATGCTCATCTTATAAAACCTGTGTCGATGGCATCAATAGATATAGGTATCCATTCCTTTTTTTATTCATTATCACTGCACTCAAGTACCTTGGTTTTTCATCCCATCCGATCGAAAAGATGCTTTTTCTGGCCTGGCCCTCAATTCTTCATCACTGACAACAGGTACACAAGCCTGGAAAATCCAGAGGTACTTTCTTTGCCAAAGCTGTGATCAAACATGGGACGCTTTTTCTTGCCAGGCTGTCCGTCCTGCTAGAAGTGGAAAGCCAACACATGGATCGATTTCAGGACCTTCTTGTTAGTGAGCCAGTGCCTGATCCACAGAACCACCATGGCTCATTTCCCAAAGATTCAGGGAACCTTGAAATAATTAATTCAAATTGTGACAAAAAGAAAGAACAATACAGTTTGACAAAGCTTAAATATTCTGATCAGATAAGGCCAAACCAATTGGATTTCTAGTTCTTCAGGATTTTAATAAATAAATATCCACTTGAGTTTCATGAACAATCTTCTGTTGAAATTTCAAAACTTAAAAATTTGGAACTAAAAGCTTAGGAAAAGAACAACCAAGTCCCTTTTTTATGAAGATATAGGAAGCACAAATTTTAATAGGTGCTCCAAAGATCAAATCAGTGTTGCGTAATTGTGGTCAATTCTTTTTATATTTGTGAATTTTTATTTTCCAGTTGTGAATGTCCAGTTGGCATGACAGGTGACAAATGTGACCGGTTCATAGACGATTGTCATAGCAACCCATGTAAAAATGGTGGTCAATGTTTCGACATTGGTGATGCTTATCGCTGTCAATGTTCATATCCATACACTGGAATAAACTGTGAAACAGACACAGATGCTTGTATACCCAATCCTTGTCTCCATGGTGGCACCTGTCTCTATGACAACACTACACCAGACGGTTTTAGTTGTACTTGTGCTGTTGGTTTCATTGGTAACCGTTGTCAAGGGGATATATATGACTGTCTTTCCAATCCCTGCAGGAATGGCGCTAGTTGTGTTGAAAAGACGGATGGTACTAGAGGCTTCACATGCAATTGTCTGAAAGGTTTTGCTGGGAACTATTGCGAAGCGGAAGCAGACGATTGTATTTCCAATCCTTGCCAAAACTCTGGGACCTGTCTACCTGTCACAAATGGTAAGGTGGTTTTGATTTTTGAAATTTCATATCGTTGAAGGACACAGGGCTTTACTTATGAATACTAAGTTTAAAGAGCTAATTAAAATCCTAGTACAAAGCCCGAAATGACCTTTTGTGTTCATCACTTCCGATTGTTGAAACCTTCATTACGCATCTATCGTAGCAATGATCTCTGTGTTAAAATTATATTTGGAACGTATTTAACGAGTTCAATCACATATGTGATAATGACTGGCACCAATATTGTCCTTTAACTGTAGAGATAATGACTGATACCAGTATTGTCCTCTAAATTGTCATCTTCATTAGCCCAGTCAGTGCAGAACAGTAGGACGTAATCCCCCATTTTATTTCTTTTTTTCTCTCTTTATTTTTGACAGGATATGTTTGTTCGTGTCCAGCTAACTTTACAGGGAAGACATGCACCATTGATGTTAATGAGTGTTTAGCCTCGCCATGTCCCCCTAATGGACAATGTATTAATTCTGTTGGTGGATATCGTTGTATCTGTTCGCTGTTTTGGACGGGATCAGATTGTCTAACGGATGTTCGGGAATGTGATTTGAAGCCATGTTTAAATAATGCTACCTGTACCGAAGTTATTGGAGGACAACCTACATGCCAGTGTCAGAAAGGTAGACCACTGTTTATTGAATTATGTGATGAAAAGTACTAAATAATGTTTAAACCCTTTAGCACCTGGGGGTTTGGGTGACCGAATGGTTTACGGTTGCATGTTGCATTAGAAGGTGGGGGGTTGGAGGGCCGAATGGTTAGCACATGCATGCTGTATCATAAAGTCTTTCATTGAGTCAACTGGCGTGGTTTCGATTCCCCGGTTGTACGTGACAAAGAGTAGGGTCGCCTGTCCACCCTCGTGGGTTTTCTCCAGGTTCTCCGGTTTCCTCCCACTGCTAAAGACCCCTACACGCAAGCGAATTATGGAAATAAAATTGAACCATATGTTAGTCCGGAAATGACGTAGTTTATGTCGAGTGGACATTAAACCCCATTTTTCTCCCTCTCTCTGCATTAGAAGGTCTGTCATTGAATCAAGTGGCATGGCTTCCATTGCCCGCTTGTACTTTAATAGTAAAATCCTATAGCATGTGGGGGGGTTGGGTGACCGAATGGTTAGCGTGTGCGCGTTTTATCAGAAGGTCTGTCATTGAGTCAAGTTTCATGGTTTCAATTCCCTGCTTGTACGTGACAAGGAGTACAGTTGCCTGTCCAACCTCGTGGGTTTTCTCTGAGTCCTCCGGTTTCTTCCAACTGCCCAAGACTCCTACGAGCATGTGAATTTTTGAAAAGAAATTGAACCTTATGTTAGTCCCAAAATGAACTGGTTTGTGTCCAGTGGATGTTAAACCTCATTTCTCTCTCTCTCTTTTGTACATTGGATATTTAAACTTCCCTAAACTACTGCTTCCTAGATCGCCTTAAACTGCCCAATCCTGGATACTTTCTGAGCTAGTTCACCACAGCTATTTATGTGGAGCGACTGATTTGATGTTCTAGAGCCTGGATTTCCAACCTTCGGGACCTCAACTCCAACACTTTTCCTGGGGTCATGGGGGACTTCTCTGAAACTTTTTGAAAAAATGCTATGTTTTTATGAAAAACATATTAATCTCTGATCTCTTGCCACATTGCCAATCGTCTTTTTTCTCTCACACTCACGATTTGTTTCCTCAGTCTTCGTTTACAACATTTTGATCTGTAAATCAGATGCTTGTTTCTGGAATGGTGTCGCAGCCAACAAAATGACCAGAACCACTGTGCTAGAGGGAGCCGTAGCTTCAGGCTGTGTTAATAGAGAAATTTCAAAATTTTATTAGAAAATTGAAAGAAAGACATTTTCGTAATTGTAAATCTTATTTTAAATACATCTTTGAACTGTACTCATTGAAGTAATAATTATTTTTATTGTCTCTTCAATTAGGTTTTAATGGTAGTTTATGTGAAACCATGGTAACAGGATGTGCTAGTCAGCCATGTTTAAATGGAGCAGGATGTTCAGATGTAGCAAGTTCTTATGTGTGTTCGTGTACTTCATCTTTTACAGGTAAACTGAGACAATATTTTTTACAGCTAACAACATGTAACCAATCATAATTATGGTGGCAGCACTGGGAGACTGCAACTGAAAATGGCCAGCATTGAAAAACAATTTGACTTGTGTCATTGGCAAGAGGGGCTGGGGTACAATTCACTCTGCACAGATCTCTAAATATAGGGCAATGATAGTCATAAAATTAATTTTCCGGGGTGGTTCCCCCTTGTCAGTGATGCAGGACAGAGGGCCTGAAAAGGATGGGACAAAAAACCAAGGTCTGGTGTACACATTGGTGTGCACGTAAAAGATCCATTGACAGTTGGAATTTGATATAAGAGTAGGCCGTAGTGCCGCTGTCCGGGCAAAATGTCCCTAATAGCACACTGTATGGCATATGCCCATCTTCATTAGCCCAATTCAGAAGTAGAACAGTAGGACGTTAAACCCCATTTCATTTCATTTAATCAACAGCAAACAGTTCGTACACCTGTTGAAAATGTTTTGCTCTTTTAGGACTGATGATTCAAATGATTTTGCGGCAGCATGTTCGAATCCCAGCATGATCAAAATGTTCCTCCTTTGTATTGCAGGCACAATCACCTAAAGAAAAATTACCATATGCTTGTTGTCTTAAAATGACAGAAATATTCTGTTGAGACATTAAAGCTCTATTCCAAATGATTTCATAGAAAACAAACATGTCTTGTCCATTTGGAGTGTGGGTGGTTGGGTGGTCGAATGGTCTAATGACTGTGCTTTAGATCATAACATCTGTTATTGAGTCAAGTGGTATGGTTTTGATCCCACACTTGTACATGACACAATAATTAGGGTTTCCTCCAGCTGCTACAGACCCCTATTTAACGATCGAATTATTAGAATAAAAATGACCTAGTACGAATCGAATGGACGTTACCCCCCCTCTCTCTCTCTCTCTCTCTCTCTCTCTCTTTCTCTCTCTCTCTCTCTCTAATTTGGACTGAATGTATGCTGTTGCTTTTTTTAGGGAATAATTGTGAGACACCTGTTAATCAATGTACACCTACATCTAATCCTTGTTTAAACTCTGGAACATGTACGTCAACATCAACTGGGTTTACCTGTCAGTGTACGTCTGGTTATAAAGGTGCTACATGTACAGAAGATATCAATGAGTGTTTGTATTCACCTTGTCGTAATGGAGCTACCTGTGTGAATGGTGAAGGCAGTTATTCTTGTAGCTGTAAATCGGGTTATGCAGGTAAAATTAACTTTCAAATAAAATATTTATCCCTATTTACAGTAATTAGTTTTTATTTGAACTCTTCCAAATGATTATACTGCTAGGCTCTATATATACTGTTTCCTTCCACTGCTAAAGACCCATACATGCAAGTGAATTAGTGAAATAAAATTGAACCATATGTTAATCCTAAATCTCCCTCTCTATTTTATATAGAAGCTATTACAACCAGTATATTTGTCTATATTAGAATCTCTCATTTACGATTCCATCTAGGATTACCTATAGCTAACAGATGAAGTTTATTGACTTGAAGGGGGTTTGGATGGCCGAACGGTTAGGACGGGAGTGCTGTAGCATACGGTCTGTCATTGAGTCAACTGGCGGGGTTTCGATTCCCCAGTTGTATGTGGCAAGGATTAGGGTTGCCTGTTCATCCTTGTGGGTTTTCTCCGGGTCTTCCGGTTTCCTCCCACTGCTAAAGATTATTATTGTTAGTCCTGAAATGACCTAGTTTGTGTCGAGTGGCCGTTAAAACCAATTTCTCTTTCACTCTCTCTTATTGAACAACTTCTTATTCACATAGATTTTTCAAATGATGTTATTATTTTTGACGATTAACTGTTAGCATTAAATTTGATTCTTGATATTTTACAGGTAAACAGTGTGACATAGATATAAATGAATGTTTATTTCAACCATGTCGTAATGGTGGCAGGTGTCTAAATCTCGTTAATGATTTTAGATGTGAATGTTTACCTGGATATACAGGTAAGAAAATGATTACAGTATTCATATTGTCAATGTTGAAATAATTCAGATAATCCTTTCTCTTGTTTTCCCAAAAGGCTTAATTTTAAGTAGGTGAAATGAAATTTAACGTCCTACTGTTTTGCTCCAACTCGGCTAATGAAGACAGGCATACATCATACATAGCACACTACATGGCATATGCCTGTCTTCATTAGCCGAGTAGGAGCAGGGCAGTAGGACGTTAAACCCCATTTCATTTGATTTCATTTTTAAGTTTTAAGCTAAACATCTTTCACAGGATTCAAGTAGCTATTTATTTAACAAGATCCTTAAGAACAGAATATCAAGTTGGCATGGTCTTATGATTTTTGTTCTTCTTCTTGGGGGAACGCTCCTCGAAAAGCCTAAGACTCCTTCAATTCAAGTCCGATCGACATGAAAATTGGCATGCTTGTTCTTTGAACAAATCGGCATTGATGTGGTGAATTAGATTTTTTAATTTCATCCAACTACATGGTCAGTTCATATTCTGATCGTACTTGTTTTTATGAATTTCAGGTATAGCGTGTAGTATTGATATTAATGAGTGTAGCAGTAGTCCATGTGGTAATGGCAGCACCTGTATAAATCTTGTTAATAATTACACCTGTCTGTGTCCGCCGGGTTTCAGCGGGGAAAATTGTGCTGTCGACATCAAGGAATGTGATTCTTCTCCGTGTAAGAATAACGGAACCTGTACAGAACCAGTTGCCAACAGTTATAAATGTTCCTGTCCACTAGGTGTCTCTGGTGATAATTGTGAAATGGTTACCATGGCAAACTTTAATGGATTTAGTTTCGTACAAATTCCGACGATTGTGTCCACAACAAACAGACGTCGTAAACGCAGCATAGACAGATTAGAAATAAGTTTTACTTTTACGACAACAGTTACAAATGGAGTTATAATGTATATAACTGGAGTAAGTAAAATTGAGGATTTACAATTTCTATACATTTAATTCAGGGGTGGACACCTACAAAATGAAATGAAATGGGGTTTAATGTCCTACTGTTCTGCTCCGAACTGGGCTAATGAAGACAGGCATACGTCATACAGTGTGCTATGAGGGAAATTTTGCCCTGACAGCAGCGTTATGGCCTACTCTTATATCGAAAAACCAACTGTCGGGGATCTTTTACGTGCACACTAATTTGTACACGGGACCTCGGTTTGTCATCCCATCCAAATGACTAGACAGCTGTTTTTGTCAGGCTCTATGTCCTGCATCACTGACAAGAGGGAACCACACCGCAAAATCTGGATGTACTTTCTTGGCCAATGCAGGGGTCAAACACCTGACCTCCAGGCTAGCGAGCTAGTGTCTTACCCACTTAGCCACCATTACCCCCCCCCCCCCCCGTGGCCACCTACATATTATCTATATACAGCTTCACATGTGCCATATAACTTTAAAAGATTAAATTCTAACAGAGATAGAAACATTATTTACCTTAATGAGACTTTGATTCTGTTTTGATTTCACCAAAGTTGTTTTTATTTGAAATCAATTTAGTTAGGTTTTGTTTATGTTAGACCATTATATGCCACTTGTAAGGATCCATTATGCCTCTGGGAATGATCCATTGTGCCTCTTGTAATGATCCAATGCAACTCTTGGAGTGATCCAATGTGACTCTTCCTACTTGAAATAATTCAATGTGCCAACTTGTACAATAGGTTGGACACCCCTGGTTTACGACCTGTCAGTTTTGACATATGTTTTATATCTCATTGTTTCAAAGAATATGATAATTTTAGCATTTTCCAAGAATCTAATTGTCTTCTGTCATCAACATTTAACCGATAGGGCCTATAAGCTTTAATTTCTTGCTTTTGCAGCAGGATGCTCCTGTTCGAAATGGAACATGCACTATGTACAGAACAATCTAAGTGTTCTCAGATATACAAACACACAGCACACCAGATATTTACATTCCTGTTATATTATTTTTAAATTAAGAAATAATTGTTAATTTTTATTTCCAGTCTTCTAATGATGGTAAACCACAACATCTCGGTGTCGAATTATACAAAGCTAGGTTATGGATAACTCACAGTCTGGGTATAGAGACTATAGCAGGGAATATCCAGTTATCAGAACCTATAGGAGGAATTTACACTCACGCTGTCCAGATTGTCTTGACTCCTGTAGAAATTGTCGTCACGGTCGACCCTAACAACTGTAATCGTCAGCCATCTTGCTTCCTGTCTCAAGCTCGTAACTATGGTAACATAACAATAAACTTACAGAATGAATTTTATCTGGGCAGTATACCAAATGTCACAGCTTACATCCGCAGTAAATTTAATACTTTAGAGGGATTTGTTGGCTGCTTTGGGGTAAGTTAAGAAAAATGAAATGGTGTTTAACGTCCTACTGTCATGCACCAACTCTGCTAATGAAGACGAGCATATACCAATGCCATGTGCTATCAAGAATTCCAACTGTCAAGGATTCATTTACGTGCACGCCAAGTATACACAGGACCCTGTTTTTTTCCATCCTATTCAAATAACTAGACTTTGTCCTTGTCAATCCCTCAGCCCTGCATTTAAGTTAAGAAAAGAAAGGCAGATCATTGTTGCCATAAAATTGATGCAATCAAATAATTCTGTTTTTTCCCTACATGTCAGATATTTATTCACTTGTACTGATAAAAAAATGCTGTTCGCAAAAATACCGAACATCAAGATATGGTGAATCAGCCTCAAAAATCGCATTTATCTTGTCTGCAGGTTTATCTTGTCAGTTTTGATTTGCATGTGAATAAGTGAGTATAGAAGAATCACAAAATATGATTCCCCTGAAGATTCACCATAATTTCAATCTCTGATATTGTGCTGACCATTGGTCAATTTGAGTTTCTGCCAATATTCAGAAAATGATCTCCATTCTACTTTCCATCTATTTATTGATTATATGAAATTTTTTTTATTCAGAATCTGAGGGTAAATTCAGAGGTCATGAACTTGATGCCAATCACCACCAATCAACAACCGTCACCAGGATGTACAAACCATGAAGCATGCAGCGCCACCATGTGTTTAAATGGAGGTACCTGCGTGGATGTCTGGACGAGAAAGTATTGTAAATGTAGACCAGGTTATTCAGGAGAGAACTGTCAGTTTCAGAACATGGCTCATTTTACACCCAGTTCTATGCTTCATTTCTCTGGAGGGTCCGAAGTCTTGGAGATATCATTTTGGATGTCAACTAGAAATGATTCTGGAATTATTCTCTATACGGTAAGCATCTTACTTAGAGATTAGGCCATAAAAACTAAATGATTAGGCCATAAGAACTAAATGATTAGATTTTTCAGATGTATTGCAACTTTAATAGTAAAATCCTTTAGCACTTTGGGGGTCAGGTGACTGAATGGTTAGCGTATGCGCGTTGTATCAGAAGGTCTGTCATTCAGTCAAGTTTCATGGTTTTGATTCCCCACTTGTGTGTGACAAGGAGTATGGTCGCCTGTCCAACCTCATGGGTTTTCTCAGGGTTCCCTGCTTTCCTCCCACTGCTTAAGACCCCTGCACGCAAGCAAATTATTGAAAAAAAATTGAGCCATATTGTGACAGTATTGGTTCTTAAATCTGGTTCTTTGATGACAACACTGGTATATACATCTAATAATAGTTTTATTCTGCTTCTTACAATATTAGGTACAAACATCGTGATGTAAACGACCGTAGAACTAACTATATGGAAGGAGTCATGACTTAATTAGCTTGGCTTAGCATGAGTGTGCTAACTCCAGAAGCTGTCGTCTCGTACCGTCTCGTGCCAAGGCGCCCATGGCCTTAGCTCAGTCCTGGCCGGACCTAACTCCTAGCCCTGCCTGGACCTCTCTCGTATCCATTAGGTACCTTGATCTAGGCACCCGCCTAGCATGGCCTCCTGGACCCGCCTGAAGATTCGTTTCTGTTCTGAGTTTATAAACGTATTCGAGACAAAGGAGCTCATTAGACACCTGTCTAATGTATCAAGCATCATATGAAGGTTTAACATTCAATATAGTTTATCAGACAAAGAAAGTTAGATAAGACATGCCAACAACAAGTTATAGTTACGCAATGACATAAGGAATACTACCAAGATCTCCAGCCGGGTATTGATAGCGACAGGTTTATGTTACAATCACTAATACGTATTTTAATATGGCAGGACGCCTCTATGACATAAGTCATTATGTTATATACCTCTCTTTGTTTGAATAAAGTTATGAATTATATGAAATAACTTTTAAAGACTATTACAAAATTAGATACCTATGGAGTCGATAATTACTACTCTTATAAAGATATAAACAACAATAATAATAATGAAAAAATATATAAAAACAAACAACACTCGTAAAATGTCGTATACAAAAATGTCTATAAACAAAAAGAAAAGGTAAATGAAACACACACGAATTTAAAAGTTATATATACATGTAAAATGTCATAATATCCAAAAATGAAAAGGTCAATGAAAAACACACGAACTTGAAAGTTATATACACACAATCGGTCACACACGCGAGTCAATGAAAAAAAAAAAAAAAAAAAACGAGATCCTGGAATCACAAACACAGACTACTCTTATTATTCACATAAATGGTGGAATCGCGAACACAAACTACTGTAATTATCTTCTTAGACCGATTATTTGGTGGAATCGCGAACACAAACTACTGTAATTATCTTCTTAGACCGCTACTGCACTGTCGTAGCCAACTGTAGGGGTGGGGTACATATGATGCCCTTCCTCGTTCCAGTAATGTTGAGGGGTCAGAATATTCCCTGCTCCGTTTAGTTCAGCTCTTCTTATTGACCGGTAGTCTTTTCATTTTCCATACCGTCTGGCAAAACGGCGTGTTATGACATGTGCATATGAAGAGTATTAACTGCCACCCGTGCCGAAGTTTTATCATCTGCTTATCATATATATCATGGAGTGAACTTAATTAATAGTTAATCAAATTAGCAAGTGGAACAGATTTGACTTTAGATATCGATCTAACGATATTTACAGTATTATTTACATGGATACAATTGAAATTAGGGAGTCATATTGTTTTATCTCAAGAATAATGAATGATCTGAACACATTTAACCAATCTTAAATAAGATATTTTTGAAAGAACTAACGGTTTATCTCTATAATTTTTAAACACAACACAAAATAAGACGATACGTTCGCTCTTAAATCCGAGCACAACCCTCCTGGGGTTAAACCACTTAACATAAACTTCTCCCGTTACATATCGGGGCATTTCCCAATAAAACTTTGGGGTATTACAAATAAAACTCTCTACCGTAAATATCGGGTCTCCCGTAAACCTCGGGGCATAAATATATATAGACAAAATAACAACAAAAAAAATTATAAGAGATAAAACCGTTAATACCGTGTGATTAAAGAGCTATATCTCTCAATTAGGATACGCTTAACTCTATTCCAGATAATTAAACAATCATAAACATTTCACTTCGCAGTTATTAGCCTGATAATACTTAGCTACTACTAAATTTAAAAGCCAAAATATGTGTTCAAAACAACCAATGATAATTCATAATCTTTTAAAAACAACATGACGCATTTTAAAACAAATAATATATATACAATTTTGTTTTAGCCATTTTCCTGTTCCACTACTAGCTTGAAAGGCAATATATTAAATTTAGTAACTACACCATGATATTTAATGACGCGTGATGATAAACTGCTGATTTCCCAGTTAAATTATAATACATTATAGCACAATGTCATTATTAACCGGCCATGGTAGGATTAGAAAAAGACTTACCCGTGTAGACTAATATCTGTGGCCTGTGATCTTCTAGTGGTATACGACTTTGCACGTTGCTCTGGTCTACGGCGCCAATTAATATGTGACAGTATTGGTTCTTAAATCGGGTTCTTTGATGACAACACTGGTATATACATCTAATAATAGTTTTATTCTGCTTCTTACAATATTAGGTACAAACATCGTGATGTAAACGACCGTAGAACTAACTATATGGAAGGAGTCATGACTTAATTAGCTTGGCTTAGCATGAGTGTGCTAACTCCAGAAGCTGTCGTCTCGTACCGTCTCGTGCCAAGGCGCCCATGGCCTTAGCTCAGTCCTGGCCGGACCTAACTCCTAGCCCTGCCTGGACCTCTCTCGTATCCATTAGGTACCTTGATCTAGGCACCCGCCTAGCATGGCCTCCTGGACCCGCCTGAAGATTCGTTTCTGTTCTGAGTTTATAAACGTATTCGAGACAAAGGAGCTCATTAGACACCTGTCTAATGTATCAAGCATCATATGAAGGTTTAACATTCAATATAGTTTATCAGACAAAGAAAGTTAGATAAGACATGCCAACAACAAGTTATAGTTACGCAATGACATAAGGAATACTACCAAGATCTCCAGCCGGGTATTGATAGCGACAGGTTTATGTTACAATCACTAATACGTATTTTAATATGGCAGGACGCCTCTATGACATAAGTCATTATGTTATAATATGTTAGTCCCGAAATACCCTACTGGATTCATGGAGTTACTGATAGAAGAAGTAGTAACTTTCTGTCATTTCGGGCAGTCAAAGTGCTAAAGGAGAGTGAGAGAGAGAAATGGGGTTTAACGTCCACTCTACACAAACTAGGTCATTTTGGGACTAACATCTGGTTCAATTTTATTTCAATAACTCGTTTGCATGTAGGGGTCTTTAGCAGTGGGAGTAAACCAGAGAACCCGGAGAAAACCAACGAGGTTGGACAGACGACTCAGTTGACTCAGTGACATACTTTATGATACAACGCACACGCACTAACCATTCGGCCATCCAAACCCCCACAAACATAAGAAGAATCCACAAAAACTTTAAAGCATGTAAGAAACTTTATCTGAAGTACACAAATTCTGAGATGATTGATTGATTGAAATAGTGAAAATTTTACTATTTGAAATAAAGATGCAATGCATTTATTTGTTCTTTTTTCTAGATGACATCTGATATAATTGCATTAATGATAGACGACGGTCAGATACGACTCCACCTGGTGTCAAGTAATACAGATTATATTAGTCGCGTTAGTCAGAATATCAATAATGGTGACTGGTACTATATCAGTTTAACATTAACTGGTGGACGCTACAGATTGCAAGGTATGCAGGGGTGTTTCCAGGAATTTCAGCAGCGGGCAGGTCCAAGATGGAGACAACATCAAGTTTGGCATTTAGTCGGGGGGGGGACTACTTTTTGAGACAATATTTCTGCTCATTTAGGTGCATTCTTGTATAGGATTACAGTGGAGTGAGCAAAAATGACGGCAATGCTTTGTACATTAGTTTTTTCAGAGAAAAGATATACTCTGTGCCAGTATATTTAAGTGAATATCAAAATAAAACTTTTTAAAAAATATGCTCTAACTATATTATTCACGCAAATTCTCTCGAATAGCCATTAAGTGAATACAAAATTGCACCCTTACTCCATCATGCATAGATATATAAGTGTTGATCTCATATGAATTAGATTGAATTCTTACTTTCCCCTTTTATATTTCAGTATCAACAGAAACTGGAGTATATGGAACGGCAACAGGAACTGTAGGAAATCTGTTGTTGGTTACTATGCCAATATTTTTTGGAAAGTTTCATGATCATCCTGCCGTTGACAAATGGAGAGAACGTCCACAAAAACCTCCAACATTTAATGGGTGAGAAAATTTGGATTATTGTTAATACAGAATCCGCATTGTCCATCTATAGTTTTGCTCATGAATAACCACTCCTCACTTCTGCTATTATACACTGAGAAGTAGTAATAGTGTTATTTGTACGTTTAGGGCATATATATCTCCCGATTTTGGTAAATTTATATGAATATCGGTAAAATTCTAATTATCGCAACAAATCTAATACGAAGAGGCTAAAATCTGTAGAACGGTGTGTTAATTAACAGAGGTGAGAAATTGACTGAGTGGTGATATAATTATTGCTAGGGGTGAAAATCTCGGCGACGGTGCGTTTTCTGTACCCGTGTGTTAATTAACGAACAGGTTAAAAACGATCAGTTATCACGGTTTGTAGCTCTTTCTTTTGATCCGAGTGCTGGCTGAGAAAGTTCATCAGGGATTTCAGCCTGCTTTCCCCTTTTCTGTGGTGCATAAAGAGGGGCCATCCAAAAGACCCACAAAGAGCAAACCTCAGTTTTCACTTGCTCTCCAAAAAAACCTCTTCATTTAAGGATACATTATGCAAGGAAGAGCTACAAACAGTGATAACTCGGCTCAGTAGAAAGTAATTTGAATATCATTTGAGATATTCTGAGTTTATATTTCTTAGAAATTATCACAGAGCTGAAATATTTCATTATGCAATAGTTAAATCTGCCTATTGCAGGTCTTTCTTTAGGCTTGAAATGTTATCTGAATTATTAATTAGACATTAATTAACTTATCCATACCATTATCAACACCGATGCCATCAGATTTCTCCGATATTAAGTAGATTAGAATGGTTCAACCATATTTTGATTTAATTTAAAAATGGAGGAATGAGACATAGCTTCGAACAACCAGTATGGTGTTTGCAATTTGTGCATACGTCTTGTCAAACTTTCAAAGGCTAATATCTTTGCTTGCAATAGAGTAATTTGAATGAAATTTCAAAATCATTAATTTTACATTATCTATTTTTGAACTATGATAGCAAGAATGGCTAGCTCTTTATCTAAATCTTACATAATGTATCTTTAAGATAGTTGCTTGAAATGAGAATAAAGATGTCTAGGTGTCTTCAACACAAAATTAGTCAGTTATGATCACTGAAATATACTGGGGATTTCTCTGCAATATATATATAGATTTCGTATGCAGCCTCTTATTATTATTATTTAGTTTTGATGGATGTCTTCGTGATTTGGCAGTCAACTATAATCCTGTTGATCTCAGCACCAATAAAATATCTGTCTTCGGTAACGATCCCGACAAACCATCTCCTGGTTGTCCACGTGAAGAGAATTGTAGCCCCTCCCCATGTAGAAATGAAGGTGTGTGTATATCAAAATGGGAAGGGCCAACCTGTCAATGTCCCATCAATTATCGTGGTACAAACTGCACTGAAGGTAAGTCTAGTTTTCATATGCTGTTAACCATTTTTTTTTTTAAAGAGCTACTGGAAACTAATTAAGAAAGAGCAAATTTATTAAGGCAGTGATGCTATTCTAATAACAGAAAGGGCCCTGTTAATTGGGTTTAACGTCCTACTGTTCTGCTCCAACTGGGCTAATGGAGGCGGGCATACACCAAACACTGCGCTGTGAAGGAAATTTTGCCAGGATAGCGGCACTATAACCTACTCTTATATCGAATTCCAACTGCCAAGGGATCTTTTACGTGCAAGTCAATGTTTACACAGGGCCTCGTTTTTTTGTACCATCCGATCAACTATATGTTGTCCCTTGCCAGGCCCTCTGTTCTGCGCCACTGACGGGGGGAACCACGCTGGAAAATCCTGATGAACTTTCTTTCCCAACGCAGGGATCAAACGTCCTACCCACTGAGCCACGATGGCTCCCAACTTAGTCCTTAAGAATCTGTAAATATTGTGCGATGACCCATTGACTGGGCCCCACGAAATGGCAATTTGCTATTGGTTTAATGTGGTTCACTGTCTACTAGGTCTAGAATGAGGTCCTGTCTACGGATACCACGGATAATTGATGACAAGTGGATTAACCTATAGATATGCTTAGTTTTTGAATAATGGCATAGCAATAATTTGGTCATTCACCAATTATTGCAATCTGCAAATAATTCTTACTTGATCATATTTTCATACAAATTCTCCATTTTTACACAATTTTTTTTTTCTGACAGCGTCTGCCTCAACGTTTAATGGTACAACAAGTTTTGCTCATTTAGAGATAAATAGGATAATATTTCCATTTGGTGAGGAAATAGCTGTACAGTTTCGTACACGACAACAAACTTCTACCCTAATGTTAATAGAATTTACGACATCAGATAATAGAAGATTTACTCTGGAGATTGGTCTGTTTAAAGGTTTACCTCAAATATTCTCTTCATTCAGTTCAGGTAGGTTATGCTAAAACAACTTTGTACTTATTAGAAAGTGCAGGGAGACCACATCACACACACCAAATACACAAGGCAACCCTATGGACAGGACACAATATACAGACACAACAAACAACAAATATCATATCAAGTGAATTTTTCTAGCTAGCTGTAAGCGTCCAATGCGCTGTACAGTCCCGGGCCTGTAGTGAAAATGATAAGCAAATTATCATGGTGCAATCATCAGACATCAGTACACATTTCAAACTGATAGGCATTTTTACGAGAAATCGGTTTCGATTGGTTTGTACATGATGTGGGTCTCGAGTTGGTATTCAAATCGGTTATCATAAACGCGACGAGTTATCTCGCAATTTAATATGGCTGAAGACTGAAGAATTGAGAGAAAATGTTTCATTTTCCTTTATCCTGTTCTTGAAGACATTGCCCAAAAATAAAAATAAGAAGTTGTACCAGTTGAATGTTCCCAAATGATCTGTATTCTTATTAGGACTTTCCATAATATGTATATTTTAAAGTGAAATTTAAAAGAAAATGAACCAATGTCGAGCACATTGTGTCGCATGTGGGGGACGGCATCTTGAATATCAAATCGTCAATTCGGCAGGCTAGCAAATTGGAAGATTTGGTAAATACGACGGCTAATATTTGCCGTAAACGGGATTGAATGGGATTTGCAAATCGATTAGCCATAATCGGTATCTCCTAAAAACGCCTCATTATGTGAGGGATTTTGAATATTGTGAATATCAGTCCAAGAATGGTTCAGTTACATTTAGTATTTACTATGATGATTTGAAAATTTTGTAACAATCAACAAGCCAGCATCACCTATATAAGGTTACGTTCTCTTGATGGGACTCATTTGAATCTGCTGAACCCAAACTGGCAGATTTCAGAAATGTTAATAATCAATTTAATTACGTTTTAGCATGTATTATGCTGTGAAAAATTAGATATTGTGTGACAAAATTCACAGTCAGGATCAGCTTTAACTCAAAATATTTTATTGCCTGCCAGTCTTTTATTGAAAACTTTGAGAGAATATTCTTCGAAACGTCGCCTAAATAAATCAGTAGCTGTTTTCCATAAGGTGTTATAGTTTATGCTATTATTTTTATTTTTGATTTCAGAAACTGTGACATTCAGTACAAGTTTATCAGATGGTTTGTGGCATTATATTTATATAAAGAAAGATGGTGAAGACTTGAAGATTAGCGTTGATGAAGAAAGTCAACGTCTATTGGCACGATTTACACCCTATGATAAAATCTATAATAATACTATTTCTGTTTTTATTGGTGCCAAACCGTTCACACCAGGTAGGTTCGGGTGGGAATGGAGTTTTAACCCCTGATGAAGACAATATTTTAATCATTTTTTCTTAAATGACCACACTATATTTTTATTTTCCCATCCAATAAGCCCTTACAACACCACATCAGGTGGGATGTACATAAGACATGCTTTACTATGACAACTAAGTCAACATGTAGCTCATTATTACTATTCATATTATATACAAAGGTCATGAATATTCATGTTATGGTAATACCAATCTCAATAGCCATTTCTGCTCTTGAATTCCTGATAATTATTGTTTATTTTCTCAATTTAAGGTGATACCAACCTTCTGATTGGCCACTTTAAGGGATGTTTACGAGACGTTTCCTTCAACAAAGTCAATATAAACTATCTCACTGGCCATTCTGTTCAGCCAGGTGTCGTTGCTATGGATACTGATATATCATCTGGTTGCCAAGGAGATGATGTCTGTTCTTTGAATCCATGTAAATCCAATTCAGAATGCGTCGACACGTGGAACAGTTACACATGTCCGTGCTCCAAGGGGTGGACTGGGGTAAATTGTTCAGACAGTATTGATGACTGTATTGGTAATAACTGTCAAAATGGTGCTCCCTGCGTCGATGGTCACAATAGTTACTCCTGCAACTGTACGGCTGGATTTGGGGGACAGTTTTGCATTGATCGTGTGACCCCCTGTGACTCAAACCCATGTGACCCTGCGAACACCAATCAGTGTTTAGTATCGGGTTTAAACTTTACATGTTTGTGTAATCCAGGTTTTACTGGACAAAACTGTTCAGAAAATTTCAACGAATGTTTATCGAAACCGTGTGAAAATGGCGGAAATTGTACAGATTTGATAAACGCGTATAAATGTGAATGTCCATCCAGCCATTTTGGCGATAATTGTCAATTTCGTTATGTCTGTTCTTCCAGTCCATGTTTTAATGGAGGACGTTGCCAAGCAACTGAAGATAACTCTAACTATACTTGTGGTTGTTCTGATCAATATATAGGTCATCAGTGTGAATCGTTCAATTATTGTAAGAATAATTTGTGTATCAATAATTCAACTTGCATTTTAACGAATTCTACTTACACCTGTCAGTGCTCCTCTGGTTTTTACGGAGTTTATTGCCAATTTAAGGATTTCTGTTTCAGCTCTCCTTGTAAAAATAGCGGAGAGTGTCGAAACGATCGCGATTCGTATCGTTGTGAATGTTCTGTATTCAGTACTGGCAAGAATTGCGAGACTATTATTAACCAGTGTGCGTTTAATCCATGCCTTAACGGTGCCCTCTGTTACTTCAATTCAACGCTACCAGCAGGAACCTATCAATGCATATGTCTGCCAGGATTTTCCGGCGATCGTTGTGAGGTCGATGTTGACGAATGTTCTTCCAATCCATGTCTCAATGGTGGACAATGTACCGATAGCTCAAAACAACCAACTGAAAAATTTTATGTCGGTTTTCGTTGTAGTTGCCCGTCTGGTTACACAGGACAACGTTGTGAAACTAATATTAATGATTGTGTGAGTCTTCCATGTTTGAACAATGGTATTTGTCGAGACCTGGTGAATGGATATCGTTGCGAATGTGCTCGGGGCTATGACGGAACAAGATGTGAATTTGATATTCGATTGTGCGCTTCGTCCCCGTGTCAAAATGGCGCCACGTGTAGAAATACTTCTTCCTTGAGCTTCCAGTGTGATTGTTTATCAGGTTTTACTGGACGATTGTGTCAAACAAATATAGATGACTGTGCTGGTAACACATGTAAAAATGGTGCGGCATGTTCGGATGGTATAAATCAGTATTCGTGTAATTGTCTTCCAGGATATACGGGAACACGATGTGAAAGCATAGCAGACGCTTGTTTTAGTCAGCCATGTTTTAATAATGGAAAATGTAACTATCAAGGCGTCTGCTCTTGTCATGACGTTGTTTCGACGTGCGGATGGCACAATGAAACATGTCAACGAGCGATGTGTGCTACACGTTCCGAATGTTCGATAAGAGCTTTATCTTACGACTGTGATTGTACAAGTATTGGATATAGAGGGAGCCAGTGTGAACAAGACATTGACGAGTGTTCAGACTCAACTACATGTAATAATAAAGGAGTGTGTAGGAATACGTTAGGAGGTTTTACTTGTGATTGTATGAACACAGGGTTTACAGGGTCAACATGTCAGACAGACGTCAACGAATGTTCCAATTCAAGCGTGTGTTTTAATGGAGGTATGTTCTTATAATAATACACTAGAGTTTTACTAGTGATGCAGTGTCTAGTCCTTCAGTTGGTACAAAAACTTGTTGGTGTGGATATAAAAGAAACATCGACAGTTGTAATTCCATTAATACCAGGCGGAAACTTGGCTGTATGGACAAAGTTCCCCTTGTCTTCATTTGCCCTGCATTGGCCGAGAAAATTCATCCAGATTTCCTGCATGGTTCTCCCTTGACAAGGACAGCTGTCTAGTCGTTCGAATGGTACGAAAAACCGAGGTCCAGTGTACTCATTGGCGTGCACGTAAAAGATTCCTTGACAGTTGGAATTCGATATAAGAATAGGCCGTAGTGCCTGTCTTCATTAGCCAAGTCCGGAGCAGAACAGTAGGATGTTAAACACCATTTCATTTCTTTCAATGCATATCAGATCATTGCGAGGGTTTTACTAGGTCAATACTGCTGTGTCTGGTCCTTTGAATTCTACAAAAACTCATTGGTTTGCACATGAAAGAACCCTTGACAGTTGAAATTCCTAAAAAAGTAGGCAGAAACCGTGATCTCCAGGCAAAATTTCCCTCAGTGGACGCTTACAGCTGGCCCCCGGATCCATTCACTTGATTTGATATTTGCAATGTCTATTTTCTGTCTTGTCCGCCGGTTTATCGTGTAGATTTTTGTTTTACTTGTAGTGCGGTCCTCCTGCACTTACTAATAGAACACTGCATGGCTTCATGCCTGACGAATAGCCCGGTTTGTTTACAAAATTAGGAAATAAATGATTTTGTTGCATTGCATGTATTTACTGTTAATTGTTATTTTTTCTCTCCAGGTGTTTGTGAGAATCAACTTGGTTCGTTTCGCTGTGTTTGTCCGTCTGGCTGGACAGGTCAGACGTGTGGAGAAAACATCAATGACTGTCAATCAAACCCTTGTCAAAATAACGCAACATGCGTAGACTTGATGAACCAGTTTATCTGTGATTGCGGCGGGACTGGTTTCACGGGTGAACAATGTCAGTCAAACGTCAATAATTGTGTCAATCACATGTGTGGTAATGGCGGACTTTGTGAGGACGGGATTAATGGATATTTCTGCAATTGCTCAAGGACTGGCTACAGCGGAAACTTTTGTCAGACTCCTATAAACGAGTGTGTTGGTGTACCGTGTAAAAACAACGGTACATGTCTGGATAAATTAGGCTATTATGATTGTGATTGTAGTAAGACTGGTTATTCTGGTCTAACCTGTGATGTTGACATTAATGAGTGTAATGATGGTAGTCACGGTTGTAAAGATGGATCAACGTGTGTAAATAAAGAAGGGAATTATACATGTCAATGTGATGCATTGCATATAGGTAAGTATTTCATCATTCAAATTGAAAGAAAACTGAATTTAAGATGTAAATTTAAAGATGTCCTCCTGAAGATATATTTGTCCAAAAAGTGCAAAATATACCCATGGGCAAAGATTCTACTATACCTGATAAGGAGATTATTTTGTAACACATCCTTGATAAAACTACTATTCTTCAAATACAGAAAGAGAGAGAAAAAAGGGGTTTAACACATGGTACTAACACATGGTTCAATTTTATTTCAATAATTCGCATGCGCGTAGGGGTCTTTAGCAGTGGGAGGAAACTGGAGGACCCGGAGAAAACCCACGAGATTGGACAGGCGACCCTACTCCTTGTCACGTACAACCAGGGATTTGAAACCCCGCCAGTTGACTCAATGACAGACCGTATGATACAGCGCGCGTGCTAACCATTCGGCCATCCAACCCCCCTCTTCAAATACAGTCTTGGGGAATATTACCAATACTTGATTTATTGTTCAAAATATATGGGTCAATGATCAGTGAAATAAACACCATAAGGTCTGTCATTGTGTCAATTGTCATGGGAGAGAGAGAAAAATGGGATTTAATGTCCACTCGATACAAACTAGGTCATTTTGGGACTAACATATGGTTAAATTTTATTTCAATAATTCGCTTGCGCGTAGGGGTCTTTAGCAGTGGGAAGAAACCGGAGGACCCGGAGAAAACCCTCGAGGTTGGATAGGCAACCCTACTCCTTGTCACGTACCGGGAAATCAACACCACATCAGTTGACTCAATGACAGGCCTTATGATACAGCGCGCACATGCTTAATATTCAGCCATCCAATCCCTCTCAAGTGACATGGAATTGATCTCAAACTTGCTTGTGACGAGGATTAGGGTTGACTGCCATACTTTGTGAATTTTTTTCTGGGTACTCGGTTTCCTTCCACTGCTAAAAATTCTTGCATGCAAGTACATTTTTAAAATAAAATAGAGTATTTAACAAGACAAAATCCCCTGGCTTGTATTCATTCAAATGAAAAAGAGGCCTGTCTAAAGATTTCAGTGAAACTCATATGTGGCACTGCCTTTTGTTAGTGTCTGGTTATTCCAGTCTACACCGATGATATTTATTGCGCATGCTCTCCAGATAAGAATATAGCGTCACCATTTGGCATGACTTGTGGAATATGTCTAGCCGCGTTCTTTGAGTCTCTTGTTCCAAATGGCGCTGAAATGCATTATGGTACACGATTCGTGTACCAATGGTAAAATGTTTATTTTGTCTTGAATATTGGATATCAGAAGCCCATCTTTTCCCTGTAAGATCACAAGACCATTGTTGATTTCAATTGACAAAGAATTTGTATTTTCAATGTCGAAGATTTTTGATGATATTGAGTTAGAGACTTAGCTACTTTAAGGGATTCGACTTTCATGATATCATAATTTACAAGGGATTCCACAATCCCTCTATCAGAGGCGTTAAACCTTGTGTCAATGATTAAATAATAATTGAAATTAAGTTTTATCATAGATACTCCTATTAACAATCCTTTAAATGTCGTTTAAATCAACCTTCATTCACACGAGTTTTAAGCATATGTGGAGGGGTGGGGGGTCAAGGGAGGAGATCTTTTCAGGCAAAAGTATGATTTTTAGTCAATTTTCATCAATTGTTTCATAACATTCCTAAAAATTATATAGGGCTCCATATGTGAAAAACCTTACAGCCCTACTGTCATCATTCATTTGACCCCTTAATCTCATAATAATAACAAGGATGATATTTGTTACATGCGACTATTCAATCCACAAGGGAATGCTCTAGGTGCTAGAAAATGTTCTCACTTTTGAGTGTTAATGATAGTCACTAAATAACCAAATTTTCACTTTGGATTATTTAAAAACTGACACAGAATCACACTGTCAGATATCTTCTGGAAGTGAACCACACAATAATGTTATTTTATTTTTCAGGTGTTTTATGTGAAGAATCTGCAGCAGGACAAGATGGTGAAGCACCAAATAACAACGCAATAATAATTGCTAGTATACTTATTGTATTAATTCTAGTATTATTAGTTTTAATATACGCGGTATGGTATACTAAACGTAAACGACGTCGTCAGGGACGATATAAACCAGCGAAAGCAGAACAGTCCATGAACAACGAAATCCCCATGGATAAAATGATTGACGCTAGTAATGGAGAAATATTGATATGAAACTGATTATGTGAATGGCATATAAAAATATTGTCGCATTAACCCAACAGGAGGAAATGTTTCTGTCTGTCTTTGATTGGTTGAAAAGTTCTGTCTGTTTTCCATTGGCTGAAAAGATGTTACAGGAAATATATTTTCACACAGTTGACTCTGCATGCTACAAGGAGCAGCCAAGGAAAAAAAAGGTCAAATTCAAACTAGCCTCTTTTAACCAGGCACATATTGGTAACACCAATGGTTGTATCAGACAGCCTTGTTGATCATGACTAGAATTATAGTCAAAATGTATGATATAATGGAGAATTGAACAGATAGGTTGTACCTACAAAACGTTGTGGGTGCCATAGTCCTTTAATAATATGTGCAGATAGTTTGCAGGACTTCATGGATTTGACAGAAACAGGCAAGAAAGTCTGTAGTTTATTCTACTGCTATTAGTTCAGCATTTGGAGTGTGTTGTCTCCCTTTAGTCTCCCATAAACTTGATTGTTTCATTGTCTTCCCATGTTTTATAAAGATAAGGGTAAAAATATTTTGTTAATTGTATGAAATAAGAAATAGTTCATTGTATGCTTGAGATTAGTATATAGTCTTATCATAGCTGCTGACTGCATCCATATTAAAAAGAGCTGTCTCCTTTTAGTCTCCAGGAATATTATATAAGAGTTGTCCCCCTTCAGTCTCCCGGGATGTTTATATACACTATTTGTAAAATAGTTATTGTTCCACTCCAACCAGAAACAAGATGGAGTAATGGGGTTTAACTTCCACTCAGCACAAACCAGGTTATTTTGGGACTAACATGGTTCAATTCCATTTAAATAATTCACTTAAGTCAAGTGTAGGAGGCTTTTTGCTGTGCAAGGAAACAAGAAGACCTGGAGAAAACCCACGAGGTTGGATGAACGATCCCAATCCTTGCCACATACAAGTGTGAAATCGAAACCACGTCACTTGATTCAGTGACAGAACCTATGATCTAAAGCACACTTGTTACACCATTAGACACCCTACACTCCAACAAGTATAACAAAATTTCCAATGATAAATCTTCTGAAATGATAATTGTTACATTTAAATCTATATATATTAAATTACAATCAAAAAGGTGAATATTAGTTTTGTTATTATGTACATGTATTATAATTTGGTGCAATATTGAATAATATATTAACAACTTAAGAATAAGTTATGAATAATATTGAATAATTCATTAATTATTTAATGAAAATGTATTAATAATATTGAATAATTTATTAAAAATTGAAGTATAATTTATTAATAATATTGAATAATTTATTAATAATATTTATTAATAATATTTATTAAAAATATTTATTAATAATATTTATTAATAATATGTATTAATAATATTTATTAATAATATTTATTAATAATATTTATTAATAATAATATTAATAATAATAATTATTAATAATAATAATTATTAATAATAATAATTATTAATAATAATATTTATTAATAATTTTGCATAATTTATTAATAATTTTGCATAATTTATTAATAATTTAATAATTTTGCATAATTTATTAATAATTTAAGGATAATTAAAGAGTAAACAATGGATGTTGTATGCAGTGGTCTTACTGGTACTAAAGTCATACTTAATTTAAGTATAAGGTTATGACGAACAGTTGGAAAATAATTACCTGAACTAGGAGAATTTTGCCCAGAGAGTGGTGTTTCCCTCTTCTTTGATTTTCAACTGTCAAGGGTTCTTTTACGTGCACGCCAATCTGAACACAGGTGGACCTTGATTTTTCGTACCACCAGAACAAGTAGACACATTTTCTTTGTCAACCTTGCACAGTCGATGCCAAACCGACTGAAAGTCTGGACCATCGTCAAACTGAGTACAAACTATCAATTGTTTGGAGTCTGAAAAGTTGTGGGACCAAAATGTGGTGATAATTCACAGTCCCCACCACAGAAAAGTGACTTTGCCTTTAGCTATAATAAGACCACCACATACGACTCTTTAAGTATTTGAATATGACTGGCTGTTTTCCACAACGCTGTTCATATCAATAATAGCTCTGGCATATAAAAATATGTAATGATATATATATATATTGGTAGGTATTATAGCTTTATATAGATAGAGGATATAGTATTTTTATATCAGAAATAATTGAATACATGTATTTGTCATGTGATAGCCTCTGATCATCATTTCCATTTTTTTGACAATATGTGATTTTTCAGATTGATTATTTAACATTTAATTGAGATAAAATGAAAATATCAATGTTTGATAATCCTCTGGGTTTGTTTTAATCAGATTAAAAAGAGATCCATCAAAATATTTTACACAACACTTAAGGTCCTTGAACGTAACCGTGACCACAACTGTGACCGCGAACGCAGCTATTGGCTTCCATTGCTTATATTCTATTTCAATAAGGACGTTCTTACTAACGGTAAATGTTCTCGAATTTTTGTTTTCATGGAAAACCGCAGAGTTTGCCTCCCGAGCGAATGTTTTTGAAAGATGACTGTCATTAGCCAATCAGAGTGCGAGGTCAAATGCAAGTGACGTATCTCGAGACAGCTTTGTGACCACTTTCATCTGCCAATTTCTGTATGTATCGATCAATGATTCGTGCAGAAAATCACAGAGGTCGCAGTTTGTGGTTGGGGTCGTGTTTGCGCTCAGTCTAAACAGACCTTTATAGGTGGCATTGTCTTGTTTAAATCATCTATTAAAGATTCTTAAAGTTGGTTGATTTTCATATCATCATATCTTTGTTAATACTGAACAGAATTAAACCATTTTTGTACTGATATTCTTGATAGAAACTCAACTATTAAAATATTGTAGTTTGCAAAGAACTATCCCTCAAATGATGATCAGTGGCTTTTGCATGTTTATTTTATTTATTCAAATATCGATTGATGAAAACTAGTCATATTTTTTATTCAAATATCGATTCATTAAATTTTATAGTCATATTTTTGTTTAATTATTGTATTAATTCATTGTATTTTATTATAATTTTTAGTCTGACCATTTCCTGGGTTTATAATTTAATGAAGGTTTTGTTAATTGATCTTTGAAGAATAATAGAAAATATTTAGGAATTAAGTGTAAATTTCTTCAACAAATTTAAATGTGACCACTAATGTAAGAAATAATCTAATGATGTCCTTGTTGTAGCGTAGTTAAAATGTCCCCATTTTCTATGACAAGTTAAAATGTCACCATTTTCTCTGACAAGTTAAAATGTCACCATTTTCTCTGACAAGTTAAAATTTCAGTAAATTGTCAGATTTATAATAACAAAGAGCTTTATGGACAACATTCACTAGGTTTATTAACTGCAATGTTTCAATGAGGGTTCCCTCATTGTTGAAATTCATGTTTTCTTATCAATGTATAATTATTCTATAGATGAACATGTTAACTTTTTGTAAAAACTGAAATTTAAATGACCAGGAAGAGGTTTTTCCACACCCTCTATAGCTTAAGGTTGTCATAGAAAATCACATGTTCACATTGTTGTAAAAGTGGCTATCTTGGCTCCAGGGGCTAACATATAGTACAATTGTATTTCAATAATTTGCTTAAGCAGTGAGAAGTAACCGGAGGACCCGGAGAAAACCATACTCCTTGTCACGTACAAGTGTGGAATGGAAAGCACACCACTTGACTCAATGATAGATCTTATGATCTAAAATGCAGGATATATCAGAATAGTAATGTTACACATATTTTGTTTTGTTCTTTTATTTTATTTACAAATAAATGGTATTATTTATTTCAAATTTGAACGATAATATTTATTTGAATGATATTATTTATTTCAAGTTTGAACTGCTTAAAAATTTTATTTACAAATTTTATTTATTCATTTGTTTATTTTATTCATAAATTATTAAAAAATCACTTTTGGAATAAAATTATTGAAAATTAAGAAAATTGTTTTTACCTAATAATGTTTTCATGGGGTAGGCAGGATTTCTGAAAGAAGTGGGAACAAAATTAGGTCATATAAACAACATTCTGGTTAACAGAGAGAGAGAGAGATGGGGCTTAATATCCACTTGACACAAACTAGGTCATTTTGGGACTAACACATGGTTCAATTTATTTCAATAATTCACTTGCACTGGTTGGACAGGCAACCATACTTCTTGTCACGTGCAACCAGGGAATCAAAACCTTGCCAGTTGACTCAATGACAGACCTTAATGATACAACGCGCACACACTAGCCATTCTGCCATCCAACGTCCCTCTGCTTAACAGACAAACCATTCAAAATAGCATAGGGGTCTTTAGCAGTGGAACGACCCGGAGAAAACCCACAAGGTTGGACAGGCAACCATACTCCTTGTCACGTACAACCAGGGAATCAAAACCGTGCCAGTTGACTCAATGACAGACCTTACTGATACAACGCGCACACACTAACCATTCTGCCATCCAACCTCCCTCTGTTTAACAGACAAACCATTCAAAATAGCGTAGGGGTCTTTAGCAGTGGGACGACCCGCAGAAAACCCACGAGGTTGGACAGGTGACCATACTCCTTGTCACGTAGAACCGGCGAATCAAAGCCATGCCAGTTGACTCAATGACAGACCTTAATGATACAATGCTCACATGCTAACCATTCGGCCATCCAACCTCTCTCTGATTAACAGACAAACCATTCAAAATAGCCTGATGCTGTAGTGGGGTTTTTATATTTTATCATAGGATCATGTGGCTAAACTTCACATTCATCTCATAATCAGGATTTTCAGACTGTTTTAAGGAATTGGAAAACTGCGATGGCTCAGTGAGCAAGATGCTGGCTCACTAACTTAGAAGTCACAGGTTCGCTACTGGTGATGGCTAAGAAAGTTCCTTTGGATTTTTCAGCACGGTTTCCCCATGTCAATGGTGCAGGATGGAGGGCATGACAAAGACAGTATCTAGTTGATCAGATGGGACATTAAACCGAAGTCCACTGTGTACACGTAAAAGTATCCTTGAGAGAGAGAGAAATGGGGTTTAACATCCACTCGACACAAACTAGGTCATTTCGGGACTAACACATTTATTTCAATACTTCACTTGCGTGTAGGGGTCTTTAGCAGTGGGAGGGCCCAGAGAAAACCCACGAGGTTGGACAGGCAACCCTACTCCTTGTCACGTACAACCAGGGGAAATACATGTAATAACCGTGATCTAGGTCTACGAATGACGTAAGCACTGATTTTGAAGTTTTAATGTGAATGCTACTCATTTTTCAATTTTTAACCCATTTTGTTGTTGAAAAGCAATTTGGGGTACAAATTGATCCATATATGACAACTCATATTTTGTGAAATCGGCACACCTTGGAAAACTTCCTCTAGCTAAGAGAGAGAGAGAGATGTGGTTTAATGTCCGCTTGACACAAACTAGGTCATTTCAGGACTAACATACAGTTCAATTTTATTTCAATCAATCACTTGTGCATATGGGTCTTTAGCAGTGGGAGGAAACCAGAATACCCAGAGAAAACCCTCAAGATTGGACAAGCGGGCCTACTCTTTGTCACTTACAAGTGGGGAATCAAAATCACACCACTTGACTCAATGACAGACCTTATGATACAATGCGCATGCATTAACCATTCAGCCAAGCCCCCCCCCTCCCTCCTCCTCTAGTTAATGAACCAACCAAATACTTATAAAATCAATAACAATTTGGCGACACTGCTCAACAATAAAGCCCATAAAATTTTGGCACCCCTACTAAAGTGTTTGCAAGAGAGGATGGGGGGACACAGGCCACTGATTTAATTTCTTCATTTTTATTTTACTTTAAAACATAAATTTATTGTTAAAACTACATTTATATTGAAATTACAACCAACTAAAACCATGATTGTTGTTAACATTTATTCACATATATAGATCTACAAACACTCGTGAGAAATAAACATATTTATATACTTAACAAAAATAACTAAAATATACAAGATAAGTAATGCCAATTTAAATTCAGGATTTATAAATGCCTTTAAAGAGATAATTGGACCAGAAACCTGACTCCAACTGCTACTCATCTTGTTGTTCATCTAGTTGTGGGTGACGCTCTTCAAAAAAATCGCAAGGTTCGTCCATTTCAAGTATGATTGACATGAAACTTGACATGTTTGTTCCTTTGACAATTGTGAATCGATGCCAGAGATTAACTTTTGATATGACATCACAATTCCAAGATGGCGACAATGATGTCATGTTTGGTTCTTGTTCCATATAGTATTATCATACTTGTTGTTCATATGCATGGGGACCCTATTTGGTCAGATCTAATTATTAAAGTCACTGCAGATTTTGTCATGGTCACAAGATGTAAACAGTGTTAGGGCACATGATTGTTGTTGAGGATTGTGGGTTAGGGTAAGGGCTAGGGTTAGGGTTAATGCTAGCCCTGTTTACATCTCGTGACCTTGACAGAATCTGCAGGTGGCCTTAATATTTAGACGGGACAGTAGAAGAATACAAGATGTATTTTTCCATGAAAACATGGCTTACTGTTGCTGGATAAAATATTTGATAATGATGTGCTTTATGTGGGAAGTGGCACAAGTTTTAGGTGAAAACTATACAGAATTCTTTAAATATCACTAACATGGACTTCACAACATTAGGTGGGAATTACCCTTTAAAATAAAACTAACCTACAACAAGAGATATAATTACTTTTACTGATGAGGCAGAATCTTTATTTCCTCAGCTAGTGCTCAATTAGACTGCCCCAAACGGCCAGTCACATGAAACATGAATAGCTGTGGAATTCACTAGTGCCGAATTAACCCTTCGACAAATAAGGCATGTGCCATACGTTCAGTCAAAAATTCAGGCCACAAAAAATAAAGTAAAAAAAGTTGTTATCTAACTACTGTAATCGTATAGTAATTACAGTACTGTCACAAAAAAAGGAATTGGTTCTGATTTGCTTTGTAATAAATTTTCTTTTGTTAAATTTAACTTTCTTCCTTTTATCAGTGAACCCAGAATATTTGTATTTTCAGGCCACCTATCAAAATGTGCCTTAGGACCAGCAGAGTCTTAATCTTGTACTGGTTATATATCACAAGAACTAATAAAGCGTCCTATATTACAGACAGCTATTTACATGACACAGGCAGAATAGGCAGCAGTAATTTGGAACGGTTTGGGGATGTTCAGGGACATACCAGAATGAATTATATCACTTTTGCTCTTAGTCTTTTCAAGGCACCAAGTGATATAAATAAATGAACAAACAATTTGATATACAAAGAAATTAATGTGGAATTAAGCAATTTGTTTTTTATATCTCAAAAACCTATTTTTCATCCTAATTTTAATAATTGTAATATTTATTACATAATGTATGCTCTGGACACTGTTTCTCGAAACCTTAACTAAAGATAAAATCCAAATATTATTTAGTAGATACTTCAGTTTTGATTGGCTAAGCACTAAAATCAATCTAATATTATCCAATCAAATTACTACAATTTGGATTTTATCTTAGTTAAAATTTTGTGAAACAGGCCCCTGGTGATGTATTAATATTGTATTATTTACAATTAAATATCTTACTATGATTTTATTTTACTATTTACAAGACATTGCAGATGAAAACTTTAAAAATATGTGTAGGCCGATTCTAAATTAGGACTGCCTATATTATAACATCTAAATAAGGACTGGCCAATGACATCTATAATATAAAGACTGGCAATAACATCTAAATAAGGACCGGTCAATGACATCTAAATACGATCCGACAATGACATCTATGGACCAACATCTAAATAAGGACCGGTCAATGACATCTATAGCCTATATATAAGGATCGGATATAACATCTAAATAAGGACTGGTCAATGACATCTATAGCCTATATATAAGGATCGGATATAACATCTAAATAAGGACCAGCCAATGACATGTATAAGGACCGGCAATGACATCTAAATAAGGACCGGTCAATAACATTAATAAGGACCAGCAATAACATCTAAATAAGGACAGGCCAATAACATCAATATAAGGAGGACCAACAATAATATCTAAATAACGACCGGTATGAGATTCACAAACAACATCAATATTCATCCCATAAATAAGAATAAACATTAAAATAAATATTTTTCAAATTCAGAAATCATACATATAATGCAATAAATATGAAATAGCAGTTTTAGCACTATTAAGTTGGGAAGGCAGCTACAGGCCTGGGCCCTCCATAAATAATAGTATAAAATATTCTCTTATTATTCTACTTCTTGGTTGGGATGATATTTGCGTCCAGATCATAGAGGTGTATATATATATACACCTCCATGGTCCAGATCCATTGTACCTTAAATTTTACAATTTTATTGGGAGAGCCGCAAAGCACCCCTGTATCCGCCACTGCTAGAGCGTAAAAATCAGGCATATACACTGTGATCCAAATGAGATAACATCTGATTATTGAAGATGAATAATAAATACAGACTTGATTTGAAACCACTGATCGTCATTTGCAGATTTTGTACAATATCTAACTTCTCACAACTTTATCCACACTTCAAAATGCATTATCTAAGAGCTAAATATGCCCATAATCAACTCTCTAGACCATCGGACGGATTGAAACACGATTGCCATTTAATAATTTAATTTAAAAACCAATAATCAACATTTTGTTTATTATCATAACAATGGTAGCAATGATAATCAAGACAACACTATTCTTCAAACAGTCAGAACTTCGCTCAGAATAAAGTAATTTGACTGAAATTTTCAATATATTCCTTTTTCATTATCTAATATTTAACTATTAAAATCGAGACCTGTTAGTTATTTATCTAATCTTACCTAATGCATATTTAATATCTAATTAATAAAACCAAACCGTAGATAATCAACTGGCTTGGATTAACTTGGATTGTAAAGCCCATCAATGGATGTTAATCGACAGACATTGTGTATTTAGCATTAATTTCTTTCACAGTAATTCAATATCAAAACTTTGTTTGAAAACCACCAAAAATCACCCAATTTGTACTTGTGTCCAGTTTAAAACTGACTGATTAATTTTGATAATGAGTGTCCAATTTACAAGTATTTAATTTCCTGGCCACTGTTCAAAAATCAATCATTATACATCAATTATAAATTGTGTTGTTTATTTTTTAACAGTTATCGAGAAATTAAACACTTGTGAATTGGACGTTCATTATCAAAATTGAATGGTCAGTTTTATACTGGACACAGGTACAAATTATATTATTTTTTGTGGTTTTAAATGATTTTTACAAATTTTCAAACAAAGTTTTAAAATTGAATGAATGTTAAAGAAATCAGTGCTAAATACACGAGATTAAATGATACCTGGGTTGCAGTGAGAGGTGCCAATAACTTGTTTATATTGTCCGCAGAGGAATGCTGTGAGATTTTCAATTGATAATATATTTATATAAATACAAACGGAATCGAACCATATTAAATTTGGACTGCTAGAGAGAGAAAGAGATGGGGTTTAATGTCCACTCGACACAAACTAGGTCAAATCGAGACTAAAATATGGTTCAATTTAAATTCAATAATTCACTTGCGCGTAGGTGGAGGAAATCTGAGGACCCGGAAAAAAAACACACGAGGTTGGATAGGTGACCCTACTCCTTGTCACATGGGAATCAAACCATGCCACTTGACTCAATTACAGACCTTAAGATTTCATGCTCACGCATTAAATCCCTAAAATGACAATTAGTAGTTCTAATTAAAATGACGATCAGTGGTTCTAATTAAAATGACGATCAGTGGTTCTAGTTAAAATGATGATACATAATATGGACGAAGCTAACAATGAAAATTTAAATAAAATAAAATTTAAATAAATCTCTAATTTAATAATTATGCTATAACTCATCATGGAATTTTTTAATAAAGTCTTCAACGTCCCCCTCCACATAATTGGGAACTTGAAATGAAACTGTCGGACATTCACCCTTGATATTCTGACAAAACAGTTTTTGTATGGAGGCTGTTTTTATTAAATTAAATCCGACTTCACCGCCAAATGTTGAAGGTTTCCAGAATTTGGGGCTACATATTGGGTTTGACATTAATCCTTTTACAGAATAAGGACCTCCGATTTCAACGATACTGGAACCAAACATGGCCTTTTCTCGTCTCTTTTCTACAATTAACCCAACGTAAAATTCTAGGCCGTCAATATCCCCGTATAGTTCCTCTAACTCGGCAGCCATCTTTGTTTCTCCTATAAAAAAAAACAAACTTTAAGACAAAAATCAACATCTTTTAAAACCACGATTAACAAGTACTGTATTCGGAAACAGACTATAGGCCTTCTAGCAGTACCGGCAGGGAGGACCACACTACACACAAAATAGGGTTTCACCTATAATTCTCAGTGGTCTACAATGTCCCGAATTGAGAGAAATTCAATCAAGAGACACAGAATTTAGTCCTGCCCTATTTCTGTCAGTCCCGACAACTGACGTGGTGTGAGTAGAATCATGACATAATAAAACACAACAAATATGTTTCAGCTACACGTATTATGATTGCTTGAAATGGGATTTAACATCCTACAGGGCTAATGTGGACATGGTTTAATGTGGACATGGGTTAATATGGATATGGGCTAATATGGACATGGTTTAATGTGGATATGGGTTATATGTGGGCATGGGTTAATGAAGACACAGATACCCCATGTAGTGTGCTGTGAGGGAAATTTTGCTCAAATCAAACATGAGATCTCTTGTCAGTGAGCCAACTCAGTTAAAAAAGAAAAAAAAAAATTTCAAAGGATATAGTTTTTTTTTCTTATGTTTGTTTGCTGTATATTGGATGTTTTTTCCTCAGAAAATAGAAAGACCACATATAATGAACAAGAAAAAAATACGTACCAGTCAATTCTTGGAAACTTTTATATGCGGGTAGACCAAATCTCTGTCTATATCTGTTTAATGACTGTAGCCGGAGTTCTCTCCCATGTTTTATCGTATCCCTGACAACACTTAATGTCATATAACAATGATTATGATGACTCATCTAAATAAACAAAGAAAAAATTCAAATTATAATGGCATATATCAATATTTTCTTCTTAAATTCAGATTTATAGTTGAAAAGAATATGAACAAATCCAGAATCAACAAATTTATGGCCCGGTGACACAAAATTCATCCCCTGAAAGAAAATTTGCCACTGGTTAAAAAAATTTCAATTAAGGCAAAAATCAATCAGGTTATTGTCCCTTCCAAACAACTAGATGCTGTTTCCTGCAACACTAACAAGGCCAACCAGTTTCGAAATTTAAAAGAAACTTTCTTGGCCATGCAACAGCAAGATCGAACCTTGGATGTGAAATGAAATAGGGTTTAACGTCCTACAGTTCTGCACCGACTGGGCTAATGAAGAACGGGCATACGCCATGTAGTGTGCTATTATATGAAGGAAATTTTGGCTGGACAGCGCCGCTACGGTCTACTATTATATCGAATTCCTACTGTCATGGGTTCTTTTATGTGCACGGCAATGTTTTTGTGTCATCCGGATGGTTAGACAGCCGCCTTGTCAGGCCCTCATCCTGCACCACTGACAAGCAGAAACCATGCTGAAAAATTCTGAGGAACTTTTTCTGTCATCACCAAGATCGAACCTGGGACCTCCTGGTTAGTGAGACAGCGCCTTACTCACTGATTCACTGAGGGTCCTGAATAAAAAAAATAATGTTTTCAAAAACTTACCATGCCAGCTCTTTGTTTAGAGAATGAATCCACAAAACTTTTCATTCCATGCTTGATGACCAGATCAGATTGAAACACAAAATCTTTGATCGGATAAACAGTACCACTGATATTAAACTCATCGGGCATCAAAGGGTGCCAATGATACAGATGATTGAACTCGATTGTGATTCGGTTCTGGTATTGAAATTCCTCCCCAAAAAGTAGTTCTGGGTTAAAGGACAGTTTATAATGGTAATTACTCAGATGTTGAACGTAATCTTCAATAACTATTTTAATAGTCTCACCTGAAATATATAACATTTAAAATAGGTTAGGATAGTTTTGTCAAAATAGTAATTAAATTAACGGCCTATTTTTCTGCACCCACTGGGCTAATCAAGACAAACATACGCTTTAACAACTAAATTAAAATTACAACAATCACAACACATTAATCCATAAAAAAGACATAAACAAAAAACAGAGAACATTATTTAGTACACATGGTAAAAGCCTGACACAAACACAGCTAGAACTGTATTCAATCAGTTGTATATATTTGATTAAATAAAATGCAATGGGGTTTAACCGACTACTTTTCTGCACCGACTGGGCTAATTTTGCCTAGACAGCGGCAAACAGCCTACTCTTATTACGGATTCCAAGTGTTATTTTATATGCAGGCCAATGTGTTTACAGAACATCGTTTTTTTGTCCTATCCGATTGATTAGACACTATTCCATGTCAGGGCCCCCGTCCTGCACTTCTATCAAACATGTGTACATTAGACGTAAATTAAAATAAAACTCACCAGTAATAATTAGTTTAGCTGTTTGAAATAATCGTTCGTCATCCCACTCAGGATGTTCTTGTTTTAATACATCACAAACACGGTTGTGTTCACGTAACCAGATCGTAGCGTAAACAAATAAACCAGGTAATAAGCCAAATACCTACAAAATAACATAGATACGATTTAATTTGGCAAAAATCCTGAAACCCAGTTTTAGCTGAGAAATTTTCTATACAATACCTATACAATACATAAATGAAATGAAATGGGCTTTAATGTCATACTGTTCTGCACTGACTCGGCTAATGAAGACAGACATACAAGGGGAAGAGAGCGAGAGAAATGGGGTTTAACGTCTACTCTACATAAACTAGGTCATTTTGGGACTAACATATGGTTCAATTTTTTTTTATTTCTATAATTCGTTTGCGGGTAGGGATGTTTAGCAGTGGGAGGAAACAAGTGAACCCAGAGAAAGTCCACGAAGTTGGACAGACGACCCTACGTATTGTCATGTACAATAAGGGAAGGGGAAGCTATGCTGGAAACTCCTGATTACAACTTTCTCAGCCAACACCGGGAGTGATCCTGAGATCTCCAGGTTAGCAAGCCAACTATTTAAAAATATATAAGATTTAACACCAAACCCCCATGAAATACAAGAATAATCAATTACCTGTTGTCCCAGAGCAAATTGTTTGTTATCGGGTGTTCCGGGAGGATAGATCATGTGTACAGGTGCGTCTTTTAAATATGGTGGAAATTCTTCACCGTTTAATACCTGCATCTTCATTTTACCATCTTTCATAGAACGTAAAGTTAACTCAGATTGTTTATCACGACCATATATATGAGAAACGTCAACCTAAAAAAATATAAATATCAATAATGTTCATCCTTTAATGATTTACAATAATTCACAACAAATTTATAAAACATCTGTTGAAAACTGTCGCCTCTATCATGTTAACAAGATTTTGGGAAAAAGTGGAGAAGGGCAATCAAATTAAAACACAGATGCTATTTCGTTTCTTTTTTCAAAATTTCATTTTACTTGTCTTTATTACACTAGGATCTGGGAGAGTTGTTATATAACCTGCATTCTGGGTGATGTGAGGTCGCAGCGAGTTCTTGGCGTGCGATGCCCGAAACTGTGTAGGTTACCTACTAAAAACATCAACGTCGATTGGTTAATCAAATGTCTGATGTCATAGGGTCAAAAGCTGCTTGTATGACCCCTGACACAACCTCCCACTACAGCTGGTCAGATCTTCATGCAGTAGACGCCGTCAAAATTATAAAAAAAATGAAACAAATATGGATCTGTTTTTTAATCAGACTGGGAGAAGGGATAACTCTGAATGTTGATAAGGTGCATCCTCTCGTGAGGCCAATGATTCACACCAATTGTGTTAACAGTGAGGCAGATGTCCCCACCCGCAATCCTAAATTAAATATTGGACATTATTTATTATTTGGCACATTAATCTTTTGTAAAGCATTGAGCAATCAAATTGTTTATCGAATATATAAAATTAAAGGTCTTTGGTGCAGCAGTTTTTAAATAACAATAAAAATATATTTACCCCATGGCCACCCCACTGATAAGCAGGACCAGCTTTAAAATCTGTTTTGAAGAATTGATGCGTAAAATGTTGTGCGAAGAACGTAAATAAAACACTGCTTCCTAATGGATCGGGTAAAAATGTAGTCCGTTTGAAAAATTTATCTACTAATAAATCCACATCTGGTAAAACTTTCTTTCCTAAAAAATATACATAAAAATCATTTTAATATTAAAAAATAAGGAAAAGGGCGAAAGGTCCAACATTTCTGTACCTCCGACCAAGCTAAAAAGACCAGCAAACACCATGCATTATATATGTTTTCTGAGAAATATTGGCCAGACAGTGTTTTTTCATACTCTTTGTCAAATTTGAACAGCTATGGGGTCTTTTTTTGTGCAGGTCAATGATTGCACAGGAAGACATTGTATTCAACAAAATAAACTGTTCGGTTCCTAATAGAAGTACAGGAGGACCGCACTACACACAAAACAAAATCTACAAGATAAACCTACGGACAAGACAGAATATATAGACATTGCAAGAAATAAACAACAAATATCTAATCAAGTAAATGGATCCCGGGGGCCATTATTCCTACATGGTTGGAGGAATAATTAATATGCACTCCTTTTGTGTTTTGAGATTCCACTTGTCTTCACAATTGTATTTAATAAAGTTATTTAAAATACAGATGTGACGTCATCCTTTGATGTTGGCGGGGAAATGTGCCAAGCGTACATTATTTATATTAGTTGAAATATTGTACCCGTGTCACATATTTCATAGAAATGCATGTTCTGGATAGTGTCCATATTTTAAGTTGTTTAATGGTCTCGTGCAAGACATTGCATAATATATAGATATAGCCCTTGTGCTTTCGCACATAACGGCATATTCCCCAAGACTAGACATCTGTTAGAATAAGGTATTAATGGGACCAGAATACTGATAATCTTTAATTAATGTTTTAGCACTTGGACCGGCCAAACCCTCCAGATCTCAGGTGCAGTAATTTTCGGGGGATTTCGGACTGTCAATGAAGGGATATATCGTTATGAACTGTATCATGTCTCTCTTACTCTCTTCAAGTAGATAGTCATAGTCAATATTTACATCTACCAAGTGCTAATAAAGGATTTAAATTGACATTTTGAAATGAAATGCACCTTATATTAACGTCCAACTTTTCTGCACTGACTGGGCTAATGAAGACTGGCATACACCATACAATGTGCTATGAGTTAAATTTTTGCACAAATATTGTGAGGTGAATAAGACTGACCTTTGACCCCTAGTGGTGTAGGACATTCTGTAGGTACAGGAGGTAAAGTTCTAGCGAAGTAGGTATAGTTTAAAGCTGCCTCTAGTGTAGGATATTCATGTACAGATTCATACACTGCCGGACTGTCAACCATTATAGATCTCACTAGAATAAACAAAACATAGTAGGTATAATTACAACAAAAAAGGTAGGATGCCAGGCAACAAAACATACACCTACAGCAGGTAAGCTGTCCAAGCAGTCAACAAGGTTTGTCGCATATTATTTCTTTTGTCTGTAATGAAAGCAAGAGATAGACAGAACGAAATGGGTTTAACGTCCACTCAACACAATCTAGGTCATTTCGGGACTAACATATGGTTCAATTTAATTTCAACAATTCGATTGCGCATTTAGGTCTTTAGCAGTGGGAGGAAACTGGAGGGAGAGAGAGAGAGAAACAGGGTTTAACGTCCACTTGACACAAACTAGGTCATTTCGGGACTAACATATGGTTCAATTTTATTTCAATACTTAGCTTGTGTGTAGGGGTCTTTAGCAGTGGGAGGAAACCGGAGGACCCAGAGAAAACCCACGAGGTAGGACAGGCGACCCTACTCCTTGTCACATACAACCAGGGAATCGCAACCACTTCAGTTGGCTCAATGAGGGACCTCATAATACAGCGCGCACATGCTAACCATTCGGTCATCCAACCCCCCAGGAAACTGGAGGACCTGGAGAAAACCCACACGGATGGATAGGTGACCCTACTCCTTGTTACATACAAGCGGGGAATCACAATCACGCCACTTGACTCAATGACAGACCTTATGGTTTCATGCACACCCTTTAAACCATTCGGCCACACATCCTCCAAAAAGCACAAGAAGAGAACCAAGTGTATAGAACTAATTCCAGATTAAAAAATAGATCAGGTGTGGCCTCACACTGATCTGCAGTGAATATTCGCTTTGACTCTACAATCACTGATAGGGATGACATCGGTGTGGCTTAATGAGCCCCCAATATTAACTTTTTCCCTTTTGCAAATTAAATTCTGGAACATTTTTTTTAAGCATTAGAAAAATAAATAAAGGTGTTTGAAGTATATGTAGGTAAAATATATTTCCTATTTAGTGTTAATGAGTATGTAAAATGAGTAAATGGCACCATTCTGCCCGGACCAGTAACATCTTATAACAATGCACGTACCATTGAGCCAATGATTGACGTTGCATGTTAAAAGCAGTCATCTTTTACGGAATTATTAGAAGACTTTCGCAATACCTTTGTGAAACAGATTGGTGTGGCCTATCTTCATTAGTGTGGTCTTGTTCCTTGTGATATAAGTAAAGCATATAGAAAAAGGTATAATACTTACTTGTATAAATACGTTTCATGGCTTTATTTTTGAGGTAGGATATATTATTAATTAACGTCCACAACCATTTATTATTAACCAATAGATGATGTAAGCCTTCTGGACTCGGCTTTATTAATAACACAAATCTCTTCCATAGTGTCGCTAAAATAAACAATAAATATTATATAGAAAATGTCTCCTCAACACAAATATTTCTGACACAAACACAGGAGCTGTGTTTGATTACGCCATGCAGTGTGTTATAAGAGAAATTTTGCGCGAACACCGATGCTACGGCATATATCTTATTTCAAAATCCAATTGTTAAGGGTTCTTCTACGTGCATGCAAATGTGCACATGGGACCTTGGTTTTTCGTCCCATCCGAATGACTAAACAATACTCCTTGTTCAGCCCCTCTGTCCTGCACCACTGTCCTGCATATTTTTTCTTTTGTCAGTAATGAGAACGTTTACAACACATGAAAATCTTATTACAAGTAATAACCCATGAAGTAATTATCAGAAATTGTTAGAATTTGTTTCAATTGTTTGTCTCATGGCCTTGAACAATTCATATTAACATTAGCCTCTAGAGCGTCCACAAATCAATAGGATTTTTCATCTCATGACTCTAAACACTGTGTATAAATTCAAAGTCAATCGGATATTAACTTTAGCCTGTAGAGTGTCCACAAGTAATTGTGGGGGCTGGACGGATGGACTGACGGACAGGGGTGATGGCAGTATACAACCACATTTCAATGTGGGCATATAAAAAATGAATGAAATAAAAAGACACATGGTTTTAAACAGGCCAATTCAGACGGACATAAGCCCCGAAGCCAAGTCTTTATCATACTTGGAGCTGAATGATCTATAAATCACAGCAAAATTAAAGAAAAAAATATGTTTGCTAACTTCCCGGGCTATTTTCATGCGTTAATTTGTCATCATCCGTCATAATTATGTATCTTTGGGTTCGTGTCCTACAAAAAATAAGCGACTGAAATGTCAGCCTGTACCTGAAGGGTAACTGAAGGCTGTATGTAGATAATTATGATGACTGTGAAAAATATCATACAAAATAACAAGAACAAGTATTTTATGACACTAAGTTAAAATATCAAAATAATAACGTTACCCCCTCCCCCTCCCATCCCTCTCTAGGCCCTTACACACACACAACTTTCAATATAACAAATATAATTTACACTAGTTTAGTTATATCGTATATCTTTGATTTTGATTTTTGTTTTTATCAGAAAAACAAAGTGCTTACATGAAGGTAATGGGCCCGTCTCGAAAAATGCAGTATGTTCTAGAATCACGCAATAATTAATTGTTAATTTTATCATTAAATACTGCTCCACATATAAAATATTCTCCAAATAAAGTAATTTGACTGAAATTTTCAACATATTCCATTTTCATTATCAAGTTTTTAACCATTATAGTGAGAACTGTCAGCTCTTTATCTAAATCTTACATAATGTATCTTTAAAGAGTTACCATTCCTGAATTCCTAAAATATTTAGTATAAGTTTCCACAAATAGGTACTGAGTCCTAATTAAAGGGTTACTATTGTGTTTTGCAGATTTTTAATCATTTAAACTGCAATATCTTCAACTAAAAAAAATGTCTTCATTTGGCCCTGTTGGTGTAGAACAGTAGGACATTAAACCTGTCTTCATTTAGCCCTGTTAGTTCATTAAACCTCATTTCATTTTATTTTTAATAGAAAATTCTCTATACTCACGATGTTCACAGTTATCACCGTAGTAATCTAGACCGGTACAATCACACGTGTACGAATCAAAACCCTTCGTATTACAGATACCTTGATTCTGACACGGGTACGAACAACACGCATTTCCTACAATTATAAAAAAAAAAATTAGAATATTCGTAAATTAAAAACAAAATACAAATTAAAATCATCCATCTCGTTACGCTCTCCCCATGTCCCTGCAAAACCATGTCTACATATCTACTTCTTTATCGAAAGGCGCTGATCGTTATTCGAGAGATTTCAAATCTCTTGCAAATTACTATGGTGAAAGTTGGATCTCAAAAATAGGATTATCAGTCCATAAATAGTTTAATTCCATGAAACATACATTAAAATATACAAGAGCTAAATCTGCCTACTGCAGGTCTTTCTTTAGGCCTGAAATGTTATCTAAATTATTAATTAGACATTAAATAACCTATCCAGACCATAATCAACTCTCGATGTCATCGTTAGCCTACAATATTTACTGGATTTGAATCCGATCTGCTTCTCAACACTAACTGATGATTAAATCCCAAAATGGATAATCAAGACTTTTTTTTTATCATACCGAGCTTAGAAATGATGATCAAGGCTAGGCCAATATCTTGGTTCAGAGTGGAACAATTTGACAAAAAATTTCAACATATTCTATTTACGTTATCTATTTTTTAACTATTAACAGTCAACGCTTTATCTAATCTCCCATAATACCTCTTTAAATTCTTAGAAATTCTGATTTTATGTCAATTAAATTTACAGACAGGTAAATTGTCCAATCAGTCAAGAATTTTAAATATAACTGAAATGACAACCCTGCATGCCAGCCATCTTTCTGAGCGAATCCAATTTGACGAACAATAGCAGTAAAAACAATATTTCTCAATGTCAAGTAGCATTTTAACAAATTACTCTTTTCACTGCATCTGAGTCTTAAAAATATAATACGAAGCAAGTATATTAATATGAAATGGTAATGCAGTAAAAGTGACACAAACTATTAAATTTACTAACATGCACGATTAATAGCAAATATAACATATATAATATATTATGAAACTGCTAAATTATTTTATATATGAAGTTTACATATTCTAATTGTATTGTGTAGTATATTTATAAGGAGAAAAATTAATATGAACTTGCTTTTGAATCCTTAGTTTTCAACAATGTGTGTATTTAACATCAATCTTATTTTATTGTTTAAATCAAATCCAATCCTTTCAATCATACATTCTGCGTACGTGCCAAGAACATTTATGAGAAATCTTAAGTATTTAAACGTCACAAGCAGTGTGAAAAACGTGAATTATATGATATGTAACACGTACCACATGATGAATTAACCAAACAAACTGTTAAAAAAAACACAAGGACATAGAGGCAGCTATATATCTAGATGGCGTTTAGCAGGTACTTTAAACTATTACGAACACCATTTAGATTCATAATCTGTTTACATTCATAGCGAGAATCCATTAAATAATCATTTCTATTCTATACAGTCTCTAATAATGTAGTCAGTTTTACCAAGAACTGATACAAATTCTTTGTGTAATATTTTTTGTGGGGGAGACCTTCTAACGAGGCATTTAACTAGATTCATTGAGTGCATTCTATAATGACAAGATAAGTTTATTGCCAGCAGACATTTATGCTGATGTATTTTAAGAAATCCTTTTTGAATTCACCATGTACGCAGAGTTTTGGCTTCAAAATTTTATTTGTCGGACGTTTTTGGGGTTCAACCTGCTGAGGTTAGCAGAGGCAACAGACACAAACTAGGTCATTTTGTGACTATCATATGGTACAATTTTAGAAAACTAGAGGACCCGAAGAAAGCCCGTGAATTTGGGTAGACGAAAGCATGTCTCGTCACTTGATCAAATGACACACCTTAGGATCTAAGGACACGCAACCCCACAGTATGTGCCAAATAGGCAGAGGTCAACAAGTACAAAAGAAGATTTCAATAAGCAGGACGACAGCATGACAGCCTTCGCTGCCCCAGAGTTATCTTACCTTGTGTTAGTTGTAATAAAGATGAACACAACACGGTGAATATCACAGTTATATAAATACTCTTCATCGTAATTCTTATCACAGTTATCTCCACTTGTCTTAAATAAACACTTGTTATAGGTACTAATTCACAATCTGAAAATATAATCAATTATAAATATTATGGTAGGCAGGAATACAAATGTTGGAATGATATGTATGGTAATACATCAGTATATGCCCACCAGAAATCATTATTACACTCTACACAAACTCGGTCATTTCGGGACTAACATGTGGTTCAATTTTATTTCAATAATTCGCTTGCGTGTAGGGTCTTTAGCAGTGGGAGGAAACCAGAGGACCCGGAGAAAACTGCCCTGACGACCCTATACTTGTCATGTATAACTGGGGAATCGAAACCACGCCAGTTGACTCAATGACAGACCTTATGATACAGCACACACGCGCTAACCATTCGGCCATCCAACCCCCGACAAGAATAATAACAAGAGAAACAGACTAAATTGTATGTATACATTCCTCCCCACAAAAAAGTTTAAAAGATATATTTGTTGAGTTGTGTATATTTGGCTGTTTATTTGGTGAAGAATGTCAATTAGATTCTAATTGTTTGTTATGTCAACAAATTACGCTCATCAGTAAACACAACACATCGTCTCTCTCTCTCTTTAATCTCATTGCGGCCATGTTTGTTTTACCTTCTCTCATGTATTAAACAATGAAAACTGCCCCAAAAAATGTGACAACAAAAATTTGGATAATTTTCACTGGAAGTTGATCTATTTTACTTATTTGCATGCAGCACATTTCTTTGTCTAATATTATATGAACAACTTTTACAATTAAAAATTTTTTTAAGATTTTCTCAGAAATTCTTTCAGAAATTGAAGGGTTCTGTGGCCAAATGGTTAACATGTGCCCGTTCCATCATAAGGTCTGTCATTGAGTCATGTGGCATGGTTTCGATTCTCCACTTGTATGTGACAAGGAGTAGGGTCGCCTGTCCAGCCTCGTGGGTTTTCTCCGCGTCTTCTGGTTTCCTCCCACTGCTAAAGACCCCTAAGCACAAGCTGGAGTTAAGCCCATGTCTGTCTGTCTCTGTCTCTGTCTCTCTCTCTCTGTCTCTTTCTCTCTCTCTATATATATATATCTCTCTCTATTTTACTTATTTGCATCACATTTCTTTGCCTCATATAGAACTTATCTTGTTTCTGTTGCATTCATCAAAATAACAAATGTGCAATACTCTTCTTATATATGTGTATTCTGCACAATGAGCAGAAATATTGTCTAAGAGTTTCTGATTATATCACATTCTCGGGTAATACTCCACATCTCTCGCCAAACTGGATGCCGTCTCCTCCCCGGACCCTCTCCTGCTCAAATTCCTGAATCTGCCCCCTGAGGAAGCTGGTTAGACAAATTACAGGGCGGACAGTATATACAGTAATAATGAATTATAAATCCCTACTATACTTCATGTACAGAACGATGACATTAATTTTGTCTCCTTTAAGGTCAAAGTTCATTTCAAACAAACTTATACAACGAAATGGAGTTTAACATCGCATCTACTTCAGATGGCTAGACTGTTAAATTAGTGACTTTAAATGTCAATGGCTTACTACACCTTCTTTTCTACCCCTTATCTCTGACCTTTCTCTCTGTCCCACTTCGCTAGTCTGTCCTCTCATACTCCTCGACTGACTTCTTAGTCAACAAGTAATTTGAAGAAATATAATTAACGCTTTTTAACTGAATCGAAAGTCGAATGATTTATGATACAATAGTGGCCGGTTCACTGTTTTACCAATCAGTTTTTTTAAAAATTGTTCGCCCGAAGCCGCCTACAATTAGCTAATTAAGATCCTTAAATCAGAGTTTGTGACGCAACCCAAACTTGAATCATCAAGGGAGTCGCGGTGGTTTAGTGAATAAGACGCTGGTTCACAAATCAGGAGGTCTCAGATTTTCCTCCTGGTGTTAGCAAAGACATTTCCTCAAAATTTTCTAGCAAGGTTTTCCTTTGTCATTAGTGCGGGATGGAGGGCAAGAACAGTGTCATTCAGAGAGAGGGAAATGGTGTTTAATGTCCAATCAACACAAACTAGGTCATTTTGGGACTAACATATGATTCAATTTTATTTCAATAATTGGCTTGCGCGTAGGGGTCTTTAGCAGTGAGAGGAAACCGGAGGGCTCGGAGAAAACCCATGAGGTGAGACAGGCAGCCCTTCTCCTTGTATCGTACAACCGGGGAATCGAAACCGCGCCAGTTGTCTCAATGACAGACTTAACCATTCGGCCATCTCCCCCCCCCCACCACCCGTCATTCAGATGAGATAAAAAACCTAAGGTCACTTGACAGTTGAGATACATAAATAAGTGGAGGTCATAGCTTCGCCTACCAGGCTAAATTGATCTATTGCACACTGTATGAAGTATGTTGGACTTCATTAACCCTGCTGGTGAAAAAACACCCAGTTCATTTCATGTCATTTCATGTCATTCCCCTCATAGCACTGTATGGTGTATGCTCGTCTTCATTAACCCTTTTGGTGAAGAAAACACCAGTTCATTTCATGACATTCCATGTTATTCCCCTCATAGCACTGTATGGTGTATGCTCGTCTTCATTAACCCTTTTGGTGAAGAAAACCCCAGTTCATTTCATGACATTCCATGTTATTAACCTCATAGCACTGTATGATGTATGCTTGTCTTCATTAACCCTTTTGGTGAAGAAAACCCTAATTCATTTCATGTCATTCCATGAATAACATTATTTTTAGTAAATTTACTACAACCCTACTATCATTTCTATCTTTTACTATAAATTATGATCTTGGGAGGAGTAAATCACGATCAATTGCGAAACGTGCACTTTGTTACCTATGTTAAAGTGATTTTGATTGGTCGATGGACATCATGCTATAAAACATATATTGATGTCAATTGTTGCGTTACACATGATTGAACACAATTCATTACCAGTAAATTTATTACGTTACGCCTTTTTGATTTTTATATAAATTACACTCCCCCACATGGAGTGATTAACACCATGAAGTATTTTATGTCGTTGATTTGTTGATTATTTTATTGAGGTGTAACCCAGTTACCCAAATGTTTTAAAAAATATTAAATATTTACAACAGGTATATTGTCATCATACTTGGACTTTTATTAAATTCAAATGTACAGTATTTTGCAATAAAGGACTCCTCCCTTGGTGGATCTTCTCTTCTGGAGTGATTAACTCCGTGAAGAATTCTTTGTGGTTGAATTTTTGATTATTTTATTGAGGCACAACCCAGTTACCAAAATTTAAAAAAAAAAAAAAACAGTAAATATTTACAATAGATATATTGTTGTTTACCATTTATAAAAAATAACTTTGCAATAAAGGACTCCTCCCTTGGTGGACCTTGTGCCCTGGGCAAAAAATGTCTTCAAATCTTAAATTCAAATACATAGTTCCGCATTTTACAATGAAGGACTCCTCCCTGGGTGGACCGTTTGCCCTCGGCAACAAATGTTTTTGCCTGTGTTTGATAGCCAATCCCATCCCCCACATATTAATTTGTAAATACAAGCAGTTATAATTGATGTCTAGAAATTATACGTAATTTGAATATATATCCTTTTGATCAAAATTAGATATTATGGATGCCTTTAAGCTGTAAATTAATATTCTTGTTATGATTTGATTTTCTTTCATCTCATTATCTAGAGGGAGGGAAGGTTAAGTGGTCTAGAACCAGTGCCATGCCATTCGACACAACAGCACAGAAGAGACAAAGGGTTGGTGATAAAATGAGTGGTCCAACTCCAGTATACTATTGTTCGACACCACTATATTTTCCCTATACTGGGATGTATTTATATAAGCATGTAGGAATATAGATGTGATCATCATGTTTGTAAAATAGTGGTCTGACTCCATCTCCCCAGTATCGACACCCCTGCGGTCCCTTATATGGTCTTCACGTTTGTCTAAATACAGGACTAGTATTCGACACCTTATGTGGTCTTCATGTTTGTCTAAATAGAGTGGTAGGACTAAGTGGTCTGACTCCATCTCCCTAGTATTCGACACCACACTGCTGTCCCCTATGTATGAATGCAGATGTGACCTTCATGATTGTCTAAATAAAGTGGTGGGACTAATAAGTGGTCTAGATCCAGTCCCCTACACTTAGACACCACTGTATAGAGATGTAGTTATAAAAGCATGTATGAATGGGGATGTGACCTTCACGTTTTTCTAAATAGAGAGGTGCTACTAAGTGGTCTAGTTCCAGTCCCCTATGGTTCGACACCACTGCGGTTCCCATACATACAATACAGCATAAAAAATACATGTATGAATGTAGATGCGACCCATATGTTTGCTTAACCTTTAAATCGTATTATGATATTAAGGGCTTAACCTCCGTCAATAGACCCAGTGTTTGAAGAACATATTTTCTATCTTTGAGGCTGTTTGAGTTAAATCCTACCATTGTGTTAAAGTCAACATGAAAAACTCGATATAGTCAACCTACTGGTGTAACCACAATCTCTTCTGTAATATCTAATTACATACTCCCTTTTTTTTGTAAGACATTTAAGACATGTATTTTATTGCTGTGTAATCTCATCCTAATTTAAGCAGAGAAAGACATAATGATTTCATTTGTACCTGAAAAACTGTCAATCTGACATGCATACATTCCCCCCCCCCACACACACACACCACCACCACCACCACCAAATGAAAAAACAGGAGTCTAGCAATTAAAAAACTGGAGAATCCAGTTGTTTTGTCATTCTTCAAATATTGAATGGTCTGGAGGAGAACATTTCCTAGACTTGTTATATATCTATGTCTATTTAAATATTTCAATGGTTTTATTTATATACACTGGTTGAGTGAAGGGAGTCTATAGTATATTAGACATAAATTATTCTTTCACTCCTGAATATTATCTATTATCAGACAGCATATGCATAAATTGACAAAATGGTGAGAATAGACAAGTATTTATTAAATTGATTTGGAAATACACAGTACACAATTTTATGGAATACTGTTTCATACTGAGCAATGTTTTGACTATGATTTTCTGCTCAGTAATAAACAGTAATTGTAGTCCATAGACTAATTGTGTCCTGTATTGTATTCCATAGACTAACTGTGTCCTGTATTGTATTCCATAGACTAATTGTGTCTTGTATTGTATTCTATAGACTAATTGTGTCTTGTATTGTATTCCATAGACTAATTGTGTCTTGTATTGTATTCAATAGACTAATTGTGTCTTGTATTGTATTCCATAGACTAACTGTGTACTGTATTGTATTCCATAGACTAACTGTGTCCTGTAGATTTCCAGTTCATTTAATAAATGTAACTGAAATCTCGATCTATTGGTATGGTCATATTTCTGGACAATCTATATGAATCAATGCATGTCATGTCAAAGAATTAATGGCAGAAATCACAATTGTGAGTCGGATTCTGCATTTCATGACTCGATATGTACATTCACAGTAATTGTTTTTTCACAGAATTGTGTCATGTGTATTCTTTTATTTCCTATCTACTGACAAAATTGAGAGACTGGAAGACCTTTATGTCATTGCCTATTGATCAAGATTATATGAGCTTCTGACAATTGTGATTGTGTTAAGAGTAGGTGGAAAGAAGTAAATCAAAATGACTTGAGATGACACTGAAGTGTTTGTATTACAAGTTATTTTTATGTTTGATGTTTTCAAGAGGTCAAACTGTCACAGGCAATTTTTGATGAGGTCAAACTCTACATGTAATTTTTAAGTGGCGGTTAGTTGACATTGTGATGTCAAGGGGTGGGAGAAACCCATAACATCCTCACTAAAACAATCCATAAAGATAAACTAAGGCAGAGATTTTACTTCAAAATTGTGACAGCTGATCAATTTTGGATATATTTTTACCTCAGATTAGGAAGATGGTTTGGGTGTTGTTTTTTTTAAAAATGACAAGTTTTAACATTATTCACATTTTTAAAATATATTTTAAAATTTGTCAGCTGATCAATTTTGGACATATATTTTTTATTTATTATTAGCAATATATTTTTCAAATAAAGACGACAATTTTTCACATTATCCCAATTTTCAAAATAAATTTGATCATAGGTCATTTTTACACATGTATTTATTGGTGATAATCTTTGAAATTCGAACTACATGGTATGTAGCCTAATTGACTGACCTTTAAGTTCTGCAGTCAGTTGATTTCAATGCAAGTCAGTCATGACTGCCAAATTTGACTGAAAGAAGAGCCTTGCTTTACAGACTGTACGAAACGTTCTTACTAAAATATTATTCAAATTTAATTTCAATTTAAGTTAAGAAGCAGACTAGAAAATACATACCCTATAATTATTGAAAATCAAAGATTACAATTCATAATTATCTTGATATATGTTATATTAATTTGGTTTAATATCTATTTATTGTATATTTATTGGGTTCAGCTTCAAAACTCAGTTATCAGTATTTGTGTGAGGTAACTACTTGCAAACATTTGGGGTTATTTTGGGTTTAAAATGTATTTTTATGAAAGTGAAGTACTTGCCTTATCATGAATAGAAATAATTCAAGATCACTCTAAAATAGCCCTACCCCTATTCACAAACTATGTTGACAAATTGTGTTATTTTCAGATCGCACATGATATCCGGAAATTTGACGATTCACTTTTTTGTCAATTTAGTGGCAAATCTATGCATGAACACAGCAGACCTCCGCCAAACAAGAAATAACAACTGCAAGAGATTCATCTCCTGTCATTAAAAATCCACCGAATATTCCATGAATATAACAAATTAATTATTATAATAAAATTTTTAATCAAAAATACTCACCCTTGAATAATAAATTTTTAGTTGCTAAATAATTGTCCTATATTTCTTCACTTTTCAATGTAACGACTTTTATCTTTTCTTTCGACTTTTAAATTGAATATATTTTAGTTATACCTGGAAAATATTGAAATATAATAATCAATTAATTGTGTGCTGGTAAAACACCCCTTTAAAGTTGGAATTTGCTGAAACCTCTTGGCATATTTTTTTCCTCTCAACGGCCTTAATTGTACAATAAATGTTTTGTATGCTGCCCTGACTGGAGTGTTCAGTACGATAAAAACCTGATTGTATCTTGAGATGTTCAGTCAGCAGTCTTGGGCATACAAAACTACAAAACTTACGCTGTCTGTATAAATACTATAATTAGTTACTATTGAAAACAGAAACAAGACTAGATGACCAAGATTTTAAGTCCTAAATTTTTGATTTTATTAGAAAACACTAACTATACTTCGGGAATTTGGAGAACTATTTATTCTGCTTCTTCCAGTTAATAAAATTGAAAATGTTATTTAGTCTGTGTGTGTATGAAAGATGTAAATCCCGGATTAGAGCCACATGACAAAGTAGTAGTATACTATACATGTTTGAACATGGTGGTCATTCAGGGCAGAGATCTATTCTCAAAGCATATAGTTCTCTGTGTGAAGAATGTAATCTTAGGGTGTTCAATATAATATACGGTTTAGTATTCATTAATTACTCAAGATCACGACACTACAACTAAGTGGTTCATCCATGAGCTTTCTATCAAACACCGACTAACCTAGTTTCACGAAAAGAAAATTTTTAACTCAGGGTTGGGTAGAATGCCAATAAGAATATATTATAACCATAAAATCTCGACACTGCAACTAAACGGTTCATCCAAGAACTTTTTCTCCCAAACATTTCACTTGGATCATGACAAACCCAGTTACATTATACATGAAAAGAAAATGATTAACTCAGGGCTGGGTATAATACAATACGATTCCACGTCAAATAAGATATGTCAACAGAGAAAGTGTTTGATCAGAAAATACAAGATGAAGAGCTATCCATCTCACCTCGTCAAGTTGAAAATGATTCCACTTACAACCTAGCTTAAATATACACACACACCCTCAACACTCTCATCTATATCAAAATATCTGAGAAAAAAAAACAACAACGTAAAGTTGAACTTTGAATCTTCGATTCTTTACAAATAAAATACTCTCTAAAGAAAACAGGTTTTTTATCTCATAAGGGAGAGGTGTATTCTAAGATCACTGTGTCAAACAGGTTTTTTATCTCATAAGGGAGAGGTGTATTCTAAGATCACTGTGTCAAAATATACAACATAATTTCTAAGTATGCAAATTTACTGAGTTGGAAATGAAATAAAAATTGGGTTTAATATTTTACTTTACTGCACTGATTGGGCTAATTAAGGCGGGATGAAATGAAATAAAAATGGTGTTTACTTTGCTAATGAAGATGGCCAGGGTTGACAGGGGCTTTCAATTTTTTTCTGCCAAAATGGATAATAATTTTTATATAAAAAAATGATCATATTTTTATTTCTGCCAACTGGAATATTTTAGCTGCCAAAAATGTTTAATAAAAAAAGACAACTTGTAACAAATTTATTTGTCAGGTAGCAGGCCTGTTATAAACTAACTACATATAGGACAACAACTTACAAAACTATCTTTATATAATACATTAGAATAGTTTTTATTTAATAAGATCAGATGTTATTTTTGGTGACTTTAGTCTTTTCACACACCGTTTTGAACAATATATTTTCAGTACTGGTATTGGACATTCTCAAGGCAAAAAAAAGAAAAGTGGTATTAGATATGAGAGAGAGAGAGAGAGAGAGAGAGACAGAGAGACAGAGAGACAGAGAGTGCATTAGGGTCTAACAACCACTCAATACAAAGTAGGTCATCTTGGGCCTAACATATTGTAATTTTATTTCAATAATTCATTTGTTTGTTGGGGTCTTTAGAGAGGGTAGAAAACCTGTGAATGTGGATGTGTTTTTCCTCTTCAACCCTAAAAACCACCTATTCACAAATACCTTTTTACCAAGATAACAAGCTACGGGTCCGTGGCTTTATAAAGAATTCAATGACAAATCCCATTTCACTTTCACGACCACAGTAAAAATGGCACGTACTGAAATGAAATGTGATTTAATTTTTTACTTTTCTGCACCAAATGGACAAATAAAGACAGGCATATGACATTCAGTGTGCTATGATGTAAGTTTTGCTCAGACAGCCTACTCTTATTTCTATTTCCAACTGTCAGGGGATCTTTAAAGTGCAGCCTGTGCTATACTCAGCCCATGTCAGGATTCGAACCTGGAATATTCTATTCGAGTGTTCAGGGCCCTTGAAAAAAGCGATCTTGATTCATTCCAGAGAAGTTCATATAGCCTGAGTAATGACAGGTGTGATGCACAAGGCAGCTTGACATGTTTACTCTTTCAAGAACATTTGATACCACTTCTCACTCAACTTCAGTACAGCCACTCCTTATTTATTTGAGAAGTTTGTATAGCCAGTTAACTATAGTTTGAGCAGTGACAGGTATGATGTACAAGGCAGTTCACTCTTACCAGAACAGCTGATACCACTTCTGAAAGAGCAGCACAGTTAACAAATTGTGCTTTAGTATCAAATAAATAGCACATGTATACCAAGCCTAAAAATCTTTCTATTTTTGTAAATGATACAAATCATGAAAACTATTTTTATCACCCGAAGGTTAAGGTTAAGTGTCGTGGGATAATTTATTACTACAGTAGTTAAAAATTCAACGATTAAAATTGCTAATTGATTTTAGTGTATTTGTAAAGAGATTAAAGGTGGAGACAGTTATGTTATATGTATCTATATCTAGACAGTTATGTTATATGTATCTATATCTAGACAGTTATGTTATATGTTTCTATATCTAGACAGTTATGTTATATATTTCTATATCTAGACAGTTATGTTATATATTTCTATATCTAGACAGTAATAATTTTCTAGTAGACTAGAAGGTAGACTATCAAACCTTGAAAAGTTAAAAAAGTGAAAAAGAAACCAACTCCAAAACAAACAGGATTCTTTTGCATCCAAATTTTTCTAGTTTGTCAATCTTATTTACCTTATATTACTCGCATATTTTTTCTAAAGGCCAATTCTGCCGAAACTAACTTTCAGAAAGGCAAATGACTTTTTTCCCCCCAAAGAGCTTCAAAGGATTTTGGAATGGGATGGGTGGCTGGCAAAATCAAGAAAAATCTTCACCTAAATCCATTCCCTGGTGGGTGAGGGGTGTGTGTGGAGTGATGGGTGGGGGGAAAGTCCAGAAAAGTCTCCATCTTGATTCACTCCCCACAAGCAAATGTTCCCTTTTCAAGTTCATCCCTTCCCTCCAACAAAATGGATCTGTTATGTATTATATGTATCATCAGCAGGGAATTTGTCCTCAGAAGCAGCAGCATCATAATCATCAGCTACTATCTCTATGGCAGAAATTTCTACTATGTGTAAACTACATGAGATCTTATCAAATAACTACCGGTTAACACTGTAACCCAGATATCATTTAATCTTGTGTATCTAGCACTAATTTCTTTCACATTTGTTTAATATCAAATCTTTGTTTAAAAATTCGTAAAAATCGTTTAAAATCACCAAAAATCATCTAATTTGTACTTGTGTCCAGTTTAAAGCTGACTGATTAATTTTGATAATGTCGAGTGTCCAATTTACAAGTGTTTAATTTCTCAATCACTGTTTAAAAATAAACAACCCAATTGATAAATGATGTGAAAGAAATTAGTGCTAGATACACAAGATTAAATGATACCTGGGTTACAGTGATATATCAGTACTCTATTTTATCAGCATGACATTATTGACTGAGAGAAACATAATTTTGCTATAAAAGTATTTCCTGAACTCTTAAATCCATTAATAATATGAGGGAATTGCAAATAGGAATTTAAAACATTTGTACACATTTCTAACTGGTTATTCATGTCATACAATCAATGACATACGTTACAAACACTTATTACCTTTGTACCTATGTCCGTAAATTCTCTAGTAAGCTCACTAAAAATATGAGGTTATCGTGTATAAGAACTTAAACATTTGTACACATTTCTAACTGGTTATTCATGCCTTGATTACTAGAGCATACTTAAAATACTTACAAAATCTATAGCAAGCTCAATAAAAAATATGAGGGAATCGTAAATAAATCATTTGTATATGTTTCTAACTGGTTATTCATGTCTCAATTACAGAGCACACTTAAAATATGTCTTAACCGCAAGCCTAAATACTTAAATAATATAAGTCAATGACATCTGTTTCAAATGCTTACCTTGGTACTTGTATGTGTGTCCGTAAATTCTCTAGTAAAGCTCATCAGGTGTCATAAGTTACAATAAAAGTTTCTAAAGTTATAGTAAGGCAGTTTATTTATAAATATATATAGTCTTCTCACCCACCTACATACATCAAAGTACACAATCACCTTATTTCATCATATACACAGTAATAGATACTTTATAACCTATAGGTGTATACCAGTATACATACAATAACGCATACTCTCCTATACCACACTCTATATTCATCACGTATAGGTCCTAGCTATTCATTGGTTAAAGTCATATAAAGTGGTGGTTTCCTCACTAATGACAGTCCTTCTTCCATCTATTAAATTTAACCAGCTAAAGGGACATATCATCTTATCTTTATTTAATGTCAAAATTTTGCTTAAATGAATGAAAATAAATTGTACTTCAGTGAATTAAAATACATTTACTAAAATTGCAAATTTTGCTTCAAAAATCAAAAAAAAAACTGACTAAAATTATATATCAATTAATGTCCATATTACAAATTTTTCTACTGACAAAAAATTTTGTCAATTAATGTTGAAATTTCTAAATAGCAAATTGTGCTTCAGTGAATATCAAAAATATGGAACTAACTTAAAAGTTTTTCAGAAGAGCATTATTAAAGGCTCAATACCACTCTTGTTGTAACTGAATAATATGTCCCAATCTTTATTCTGGTCAACAAATTGTACTATTTTACAATATTCCAATTAATTGATGATACAAATTTCATCTTAACACACCTAATTTAAAAAATTGGAAAAATTCAACTAAATGATTTGAAAAGCCTGACGTAAAGCTTTTCAAATGTGACTTGGACAAGTTAAATAGGATTTAATGGATAATTTACACAACAGGTAAGACACTAACACATCTAGTACTTAGAATAAGGCTATTTTTTATTTTCTGGAGCTGTCAAGCCAGCAAGAGTGTTATTGTCCCTTTAAGTATTTTTTTTGATTTTAAATTTTTATTTTTCCAACGAAAAATAAGAAGTTAATTTTAAAAGAAAAATGTTCAAATTGATGTGACGGTCGTGGTCTAATGTCTGTGCACCATTCTCTTATCTAAACATACATTATGCAAGAGTTAAATCTGCCAATTACAAGTCTTTCTTTAGGCCTTAAATGTTATCTAAATTATCAATTAGACATTAATTAACTTATCCAAACCATAATCAACTCTAGATGGCATCGCTAGCCTGCGATCTTTAGTGGATTATGAGCTGATTTACTGCATAACTTTCCTTCACGATTTAACGATTAAATGGATAATCGAGACTATGCTGTTTATCGCACAGACTTTAGTAATGATGATCGAGTCTATGCTGAAATTTCAAGGGCTTAATTCTCGGTTCATGGTGGATCAATTTGACTGAAATTTTCAGCAAATTGCCTTTACATTATCTAGTTTTTAACTATTATAGTGAGAACTGCCAGCTCTTTATCTTATCTCCCATAATGTATCTTTAAGCTTATGTTGATTTCAGATTGCTCATGATAAGAGTATATCTGCTAGAATTTACTCAAGTGTCTCATCAACACAATGCTTTGGTCAATTTGAATGGAAAGGGATAAGGTTTAATGCCTTGTCAACACAATATTATGGCCATTTTGAAACTAACATACGTTAATTTATATTTCTATGGTCACATGTGCAATGTGAGATACAAGAATTTGTGTCCCGTAACTTTTGAATTTCCAACTGTCAAATTGCATTGGAACGTCTATCATTGAGTCAAGTTACTGTGGTTTCAATTCCCCCCCCCCAAATATTTTCGTGAAAAAAAAAATAGAAATCTGAAAAGAGCTCAGAATTGTGAGATCGGTCATTAGCCGAGGAGTTTTTGAAAATGGGGTAGGGGTATGGCCTTGTCGGGAATGAATGCTCAGTTTGTCGGGAAGCGTCGTGCCGTCTGTCGGGTTTTGAATATTTTTAATAATATGGAAGCGAAAAGAAAGCAGTCCAGTCAATGATGAACATGCACGCCATCTGAATAGAACTAGCACGTTCTTGAGTACTGTGTTCCTGTATACTGGCATCCAACTCCATGCACCGGACGAGCCCAGTGATAGAAGTGAGCAGCTGAAAAGCAGTATAAACCCTCTGTTTATGCCTTGAACTAAAATGGTCTTTCATATATTAAAAGTATATAAATTTTACAAGTTCAAAAAGTCTTCTATCTTGATTCTAGATCTATCTATCTTAGATATGGATAAAAAATGTGAACTGTCATATAATGGAAAACGTGGCAAAAGTAAATCGTAATACGGAATATATAGATTGTAAATTTGAACTCTTTTAAAATGGTCATTCATATATTAAAAGTCGATAAAGTATATACAAGTCTTCTATACATCTGAGATCTGGATAAAAAATGTGAAGTCTCATAAAATGAAAAATGTGGCAAAAGTAAATCGTTCGACTTGTTCTTGTTTTCGTAGTAATAGAGCTTGTATTTTAAAGATGACTTTTTACCAGTTTTTATGCTGCAACTGACATAATTTACTACCCACTCCAAATTACTAGAAAGTATTCGAAAAGCCTGGAAATCGCGTCTACGGCCGTCTGGTTTTCAAAATTTTCGTCCCCCATCGGACGCTTCATGGCTCCGGCGCTCACGGGCGGACTCTAAAGAAATATATTTGTCGGGAAAATATGCTGGCCCCCCCAAACAAGTTCGGCCACGTACGCCTATGGCAAGCATAGTGACTCCCAATCAATAATAAACATTGAAAACAATCACTAGAGCATGACATTACATCAAAATTTCACACTATATCTGGTATATTTTCCATATATATTTTCTTATAGAGCTCTATGGTAAAATGCTACTCAAGGATTAGTATATACGATTCCACCTCGGGGGAATCACGTTGGCTAAGTGGGTAAGGCGCTGGCTCGCTAACCTGGAGGTCGGGTGTTCGATCCCTGCATTGCCCGAGAAAGTTCATCCAGATTCTACGACGTGGTTCTCCGTTGTCAGTAAGGCAGGAAAGAGGGGCTGACAAAGACAGCTGTCTAGTCGTTCGGAAGAGATGAAAAACTGAGGTCCCGTGTACACATTGGCGTGCACGTAAAAGATCCCTTGACAGTTGGAATTCGATATAAGAGTAGGCCATAGTGCCGCTGTCTGGGCAAAATTTCCCTCATAGCACACTGTATGGCGTATGCCTGTCTTCATTAGCCCAGTTCGGAGCAAAACAGTACACCCCATTTCCTTTCATTTCATTTCACGATCCCACATCACACCCTTTAATTTTCCATATTAACTGGGTTGTGTTCTTTATTGTGCTCAATTGTTAAATGGACTAAATGTACTAAATGCCACTCAATGAATACTATACAATCACTCCGTGGCACAAAAGATGTAAAGAAATTACTCACAGATTGTCCATTTAAATTCAAAAGAAACCATTATGTTTATATCCACATATATAGGATGTAAACAATAAAATATACAATAATTATTTATGTTGTAAATTACATCATATATACACACCCCCTGTACGCAACAGGATATATTCATAAATGGTTCTCAGGGATCTGTTTACACTTCAGTGCAAATGAATACACACAATTCAAAAAAATAAATTAGCTACCGGAATATGACCATCCTAAACAAAATTATGTTGTAAACATAGTAAAAATACTCTGTGACAAGTCAAGTGTCTCCAGAAAGTTCATTCATTGAGTGAGAGGCCAGATTAACCTAGAGTAGGGCCAGATTAAGCATGGGGCCCATGGCTGAAATTGTCTCTGGAGCCCTTACATCAATATCAAAAAGAGGTCATATTCTAGTCAGTGTCCGTCCCGATCACACCAATGCAATCTGTATGATAGATAGATTTGGAACAGACATATACAATATAATTAATAAAATCATAATTATTATTTTTTTTTAAAACTAATTTGGGGCCCGCCCTTTAATATTTGTGCCCCTGGCTGCAGTCCAGTCAGCATCAACCTTAATCCAGCCTGACCTAAGTGGAAATTGAAAATTTTACCGCATATGTTTTCTTGAGACCTGGACAAAAGCTACCAAGTTTTATAGCGACATGGAACTATACTTGGGCTTTCCTCTATAACATTATTGTTGGGTTCCATTGGTACAACCCATATATCATTGGATGGACTGAAGAGGAGCCTGTGAGTATGGTAGCCTTTTTTAGTCTTGAATTAAAGTTGTTTTTGATGGGCGAGTTGAATGGCTGAATGGTTAGCATGTGTGCCCTGTATCATAAGGTCTGTCATTGAGTCAACTGGCGTGGTTTTGATTCCCCGTTTGTATGTGACAAGGAGTAGGGTCGCCTGTTCTGCACTGTGATTAAGCATTCTACTCAAACATTTACCCAAAATATTAGACAAAATTGTCGAATATCTTTGCTGGTTTTGTGTAGGGGTGTGCGACACACGGTTTAAAGGAGTGATTTATTCCAGGTCAGGATCCAAGGGTCACGTTTTACATGGGTGAGGGATTAACCTCAGATTAATTATTTCAAAGACCCGACTCATATATCACAAGGAGCCGAACGAGTGTCTGCTTGACTTATATTAAAGTACATTTTTAGTAATTTACAAGCGTCTGCTTGACTTTTATTAAAGTACATTTTTAGTAATTTACAAGTGTCTGCTTGACTTGTATTAAATAACATTCAGTAATTACGATTTAGACCTCAACAATCACAATTTTTTTTAAATTTAATCTGCTATGTCGTTGAAAAATGTTTTTAGTTGCTTTTCTCAAAAGATTTTAGCTTCCAAAATGTTTTCCTTTTGGTATTTAAAAAAAAAACTTCACTCAAACAGAAAATTAATTTGGTTGGACCTTTATAAATATAAAGTAAAAAACATGGACAATGATCCTGGTTTTAGGTGGTGGGGTGTAAGGGGTTGCCAAGCGGTTTAAGGCTTGCGCTTTAGAGCAAAAGGTCTGTCACTGAGTTGATGAGTGTTGTTTCAATGCTCTGATTTCCTCCCATTGCTATAAAGTTCCCTGGGCACATCCTGAAATGACATGATCCTGGTTTCAAATTTCCAAAAAAGGGAACAGGATACATGTCCCCTCCTAACCCCCATTTGTAATATTTATATTAATCCTGGGCCGAAACTAACCCAATTAAAATAAATTGAAATCCTGTAACCTGATATTATACCTCCAACCTTATTCAGTAACATACATCATTGTAACTAGAGTCCACCACTTTATTTAATAAATAAGCCCAAACTTTACAAATAAAAAAATGAAATGGTGTTTAACATCCTACTGATCTACCCCAACTGGGCTAATGAAGACGGGCATACAGTGTGCTAGGAGGGAAATTTTGACCGGACTACACCTACTCTTATATTGAATTCCAACTGTCGGGGATCTTTTATGTGCACGCCAATGTGTACACGGGACCTTGATTTTTTTTTGTACCATCCGAACGACTAGACAGCTGTCCTTGTCAAGCCCTCGGTCCTGCATCACTGACAAGGGGGAACCACACCAGAAAATCTTGATGAACTTTCTCGGCCATTGCAGGGATCGAACACCCGACCTCCAGGCTAGCGAGCCCCACAAACAAAAAACCCATGTAATAAGTTATTTGAGACATCATAGCAAAGTAATTATTATCTACATTAACAGCAAGATTAACAATGTCTTTATTTTTTGACTTATCTAATAGGCTATTTTAAAGTCACCATAGGGCCTAACAAATGATTAGTTTCATTCAGGGTGAGACAGACACTTAAATGTTCTATTTTAAAATCGCTGATTGTCATTTTCAATTGATTGACAATAGGGCCGATTTAATTTATGGACAATAGGGCCCATCTAATAAGTGGACAATAGGGACTGTCTAGTTTATGGATAATAGGATCCCATATAATTGAAAGACAATAGGAGCACATCTAATTAATGGACAATAGGAGCACATCTAGTTAATGGACAATAGGAGCCCATCTAATTAATGGACAATAGGAGCCCATCTAATTAATGGACAATAGGGTCCATTTAATTAATGGACAATAGGGTCCATTTAATTAATGGACAATAGGGCCTATCTAGTTTATGGACAATATGGCCCATCTAATTAATGGACAACAGGGCCCATCTAGTTTATGAACAATAGGGCCTATCTAATTTTTCACACCTTAATCCACTCTTACCGGTAAATATTCTCAAACTGATTATTTAATTAAGAAAACAAACATCAAAATATCAGAAGCTATCATCATTTAAACAATATATTGCACATCATGTGAAACAACTAATTACATATAATTACTACAAGAGCTATTTTACATGGTACTGTGTATGTGTCATTTCACTATCAGAATCCATGGGAATTTTGTCCTGATGACATAAAATGGTGTACTGTATCCTGAAAGGGGCTTGTCCACGATATCACCCTTGGTGGAAGTGGACGTTAAACGTCATTACCGACCGACCGACTGACCTAAAAGGGTGTAGTTTAGAAAAGATACAAATAAAAATCTTGGCCACGGCTTTACAAAAATTGATGTGTTTGGTCATTCATTTTCATTATTTTGTTAATTCAAGCCCAACCAAAGTTTTAAGATGGAATTATGACTTTATTTTTTATTCTTAAAGGTATATGTCATGTATATGTTAATATTATGTTAAATACTTTTATATATTGCTTCATCTTAGTCATTAATAAATCACATTGTACACCATCCATACTTTTGGAGAACATATAGTATAGAGAACACGATCATGTCAAAGAATGGATATAACATTGTAAAAGATAAAAGTTAAGGCCTACTGCAGATTTCGTCGCAAGATGTAAATAGGGTTATGGCACGTGATTGTTGACAAGATTGTGGGTAAGGGTTAGGGCTAGGTCTACGTCTCTAGTCCGGTTTGCATCTTGTTATCTTTGACCAAATCAGCATTAGGCCTTACCTTTTAACCCCAATCACTTGGGACTATTTTTTTTTTAAATATCCTTATCTGGTTTCAGGAACACTAATTTCATCGATGAAATAATTCATGTTCAAATAATTATATAACAGAATTGAGCTACTTAAGATGGCAAACATGTAATACATTTATTTATAGTTTCAACTACACCCAAAATATCTCCACACCTCTGCTTGAGGCCTGAGAAGAATGAAAATGATGACTTGTGAAATGCACGATACTCCTCTCACATTCTTCTGATTTGAAACCATTGAGGAAATACACATAACACGTAACACGTAACAACACGTAACACTTACAATAATGATTATTGTACTCTAGACATTTTATTACAAACAGAAAATCTTACAAATTTTAATATAAAACATGTTGTATTTACTTATCTAATCGTGAAAAACATATATACATCCATGAAATTTATTTGGTCCACTCAATTATTATGTGGAATATTTTTTTAAAATTCTTTTTAACTAGCAATGCTTTAACAGTGTATCAACTACATGATTTAAATGTAGAGAGAGAGAGAGAGAGAGAGAGAGAGAGAGAGAGAGAGAGTTTAACATCCACTAGACACAAACTAGGCCATTTTGGGACTAACATAGTGGGCGAAAACTGGAGAACCCGGAGAAAGCTCACGAAGTTGGACAGATGACCCTACTTCTTGTCACGTACAGCCGGGGAATCGAAACCATGTCAGTTGACTCGATGACAGATCTTATGATACAGCACTCACGTGCTAACCATTCGGCCATCCAACCACACTTTTATGTGAACAAGGTGATTTTACTACTCTTGTTACGTTAATCAAAGTTTGGGCAATAAAACTGGTCATGTTGTCATACTTTTACTTCAAATAATAATTGTTGATAACATGTATGTATATCTTTATAAAGTTGGACCACAAACATCCTCCTAACAACAATAATAAGTCACCTATTAAAATCAATATATCTGTAACTTGTTCAACAACTAATATCCACTAACCACAATACAGAGAGAGAGAGAAATGGGGTTTAACGTCCACTCGACACAAACTAGGTCATTTCGGGACTAACATATGGTTCAATTTTATTTCTATAATTCGCTGATTGCGCGTAGGGGTCTTTAGTAGTGGGAGGAAACCGGAGGACCCGGAGAAAACCCACGAGGTTGGACAGGCGACCCTACTCCTTGTCACGTACAACCGGGAATTCGAAACCACGCCAGTTGACTCAATGACAGACTTAATGATACAGCGCGCACGTGCTAACCACTAAGCCATCCAACCCCCCTAACCACAATACAGGTAGCCACATTAACTAATGGATGTATAAAGGTATAGGTTATCTCTATAAATAAACCACAAAACCGGAAACTACTCTCTTCCTCTCTCTCTCTTTAAAGTCTGTCAAATCCTGGGTCACCAAGTACATTATGGTGAGATTCTCCCTGCACATATCAATAACAATGGTTCAAAGGTCATTTGAATATTCATTTAAACCATTCATGACACTGGGCTTATTTATGAATCACTTTCATCTTCTAGAATAAACAAAACTTGGTTAATCCTGACTTAAAATAGAAGTCTTTTGACCAATGAAAACATAAGTAGGTTAATTGGTAGTAAAGTTGTTCGACTTTCATGAGAAAAAATAGTCTTAGATTTGCATGACATTGAGATTGGTCATTTTTTTTTAGATTAGAACCAATCCTAAGTAGCACGATTTTTATCCGAACAGTCAAAAAGATTTAGACATTAAAATGGGGTTTAACATCCACTCGACACAAACTAGGTCATTTTGAGACTAACATATGGTTCAAATTTTTTTCAATAATTTGTTTGCGCGTAGGGGTCTTTAACAGTGAGAGGAAACCGGAGGACCCCAAGAAAACCCACAAGGTTGGACAGGCGATCCTACTTCTTGTCACGTACAACCAGGGAATCAAAACCACACCAGTTGACTCAATGACAGACCTTATGATACAACGCGCATGTGCTAACCATTCGGCCATCCAACCTCGCCCCACCCGATTTATTTATATGGAAAACAATTACAGTTCTGTACACACATAGCATGACGTTTTGACACATGTTCTCTTAACATTATCAAAAGAATCCTAAACAATCCTAAAAGATTAAGACATCTACAATTTCATCTAGATGGCACTTAATCTCATTATTTCTACAATTTCTTCTTCTAACAGAGACCGCAAGGGATGGGGGGGGGCAGCAAATGATCTAAGGTGTGTGCTTTTGATCATAAAGTCTGTCATTTATTCAACCACTTGACCACCCAGCCCACCAAACTCCGCCAAAATTGATTGAGTTCACAAGACATCCTTGTTATAATTTTACTACTGCGTGACACACCAACCAGGCGACAACATTGACTGGAAAAATTCCTTAGATTGTTTTCATGCAACCCAGCACCATCCACTACACATCCACGCCTTACATATCTATATGAAGATGAAAGAATTGTGAACTAATCCACTAGAAACAATTATATCTTGATAGTTTAAAGTAACGTTTGGCAGGATGAAAGTAAAAGAAATGAAATGGGGTTTAACGTCCTAATGTTCTGCTCCTAAACTGGGCTAATGAAGACGGGCATACACCATACAGTGTGCTACGAGGGAAATTTTGCCCGGGCAGCGGTGCTACAGACTACTCTTGTATCAAATTGCAACTGCCGAGGGATCTTTTATGTGCATGCCAATATGTACACGGGACCTCGGTTTTTCGTCCCATCCGAATGACTAGACATTTGTCCTTGTCAGGCCCTCCGTCCTGCATCACTGACAAGGGAAACCACGCCGGTAAATCTGGATGAACTTTCTCGGCCAATGCAGGGATCAAACACCCGACCTCCAGGCTAGCGAGCCAGCGTCTTACCCACGTGATCCCCTGGCAGGATGAAAGTAAAAGTAGGATATGCTAGTTTCTAAAATCTAGCTATATATGTTGATATATGGAGAGAGAAATTGGGCTCATCCGCTCAACGTCTATTGGACACAAACTAGGTCATTTAAGGACTAACATGGCTCTATTATGTAATTTGCTTGCACATAGGGGTCTTTAATTAGCAGTGTCACATACAAGCGGGGAATCAAAACCACCCCACTTGACTCAATGACAGACCTTGTGATCTCATGTAAATGCATTAAACAATTCAGCCACCCAACCCCCGTCGAAATATGGATGCATATTATTTATGCAGAGTTTTAGGTATTTATTATTATTCTGAATATTTTATGTAATTATTGTCGGGAATAGAGTATTGTATAAACTGATGGTTGAATAGACGCTAAAAAGGCACACCTCTTCCCCCCTCCCTCCTTCTCCCTATCTTGTCTCTGAATCATACAAGAATCATCTACATTCCATTCTATATTTAATAATCTACATGTATATCAGAATTCCACTCACTATTGACATTTCTAGACTTCCAGGAACAATTGGAACCACTTTACATCTTATACATTATTTCTATAATCTGCTCCCTCACAAATAACATAAGTCTTTATCAAACTTTATTCTTAATAGTAGGGATCAAATGTCGAATAACAGAAATAAATCAAATATTTATTGTATGTTTCTTGAAGAATGCTTTGAGTCAGAATTTGTAAAATCCTTCTGGAAGAATGCTTTGGGTCAGAATTTGTAAAATCCATACTAAAGTTACAAATATTTTGACTCATGATTTTTTTACTTGCTTCATTTCTCTCATTATCAGGTTTTGGGGTTGAGGGATTTAACATATGTACTTTAGATCAGAAGGTCTGTCAGGTTATGTCCCAAAATTACCTAGATTGTGTTAAGTGAACATTCAACCTATATATCTAGATCTCTCATCTTTAATAAGAGAGGGAGAGAAATGGAGTTTAATGTCCACTTAACACAAACTAGGTCCTTTTGGGACTAACATATGGTTCAATTTTATTTCAATAATTCGCTTGTGTGTAGGGGTCTTTAGCAGTGGGAGGAAACTGAAGGACTCAGAGAAAACCCACGAGGTTGGACAAGCGACCCTACTCCTTGTCCATCATTAATAAAAGTTAAGATCAATCGACCCTAATCAGGATGCTGGTAACTAGTCAAATCACAAAATTCAATTGGTGCAATGAAATTCTTCCCCTAAAAATAAGGCACATAAATAAATGGGGTTCCAGCACCCATTACTAATCCTGTGTTGTTCAATGAAACTGAAATGAAATGGGGTTTAAAGTCCTACTTTTTTGCACCGACTGGGCTAATGAAGACAGGCATATGCCAGACAGTGTACTATGAGAAAAAAATTGTCCAGACAGGGGTGTTTCCGTCTAGTCTTCAATGAATTCCAAGCTACATGCACATATGACCAAGGGTTTTTCTTATCATCCGTATGACTTAACAACATTCCTTGTAAGGTCCTCATTCCTGCTTGAAAATACAGAGGAAATTGCTCTGCCAACACAGGGATATAATGAAAACATTCCCCATAAAATGGTGGTACAGTACCCTGTGGGGTTTAACGTCTTACTGTTCTGCTCCGACTGGGCTAATGAAGATGGGCTTGTGCCATACAGTGTGCTATGAGGACCAATGTGTATACAGGACCTTGGGTTTTTTGGCCCATCTGAATGACTATAACAGTTCATCTAAGCTTAAAATAAAACATCAGAAATGATACATAAAAAGAACCTTCTGTCTTTGAGTTAAAATTTACACTTGACCAAGCTTCCAGTAAATGTTTAGAGATAAATACTTTCCTAGATATTAAACTGACAACCGGAAACATAATAGAATACAAAACCCAAGTCTTTCTTCATTCTTATGATGATAAGGCCAGACCAATTTGAATTCCTGTTCTTTGGGAAAACTAGTAAAAATTTCCTTCTTATTACTTCTTTGAAAAAACTTCTTTAACATCCAAAAGTGCAGAGTTCTGATGTTCAAAAGCTTTTAGTTCCAAATGTCCAAGTTTTGGAATTTGAAACAAAAAATCTTTAACGTGACTCACGTGGTTATTTATCAACACCCTGAGTAACATAAAACAGAAAATCAAATTTTGTGTGGCCTAAAACACATATCTTAAAGATCAAGACGGTGATGTAACATTTGAATGAATTCTCAGCAGACCAAAAATACTTAACCATCTATTATTACAAGATGTCTTTAATCTGTAATGTATGTTTAAAACATGTGCATTACTTTATCATAAACTTTACAGTTATATACAGTACAACACAACATTTTCAGGGGTGGTTTTCTTTCAATATTTTCCATAAAATAGGACGTACTTTGTGCACCTCTAAATAAGATCGAGGTGGGCTAAAGCAATCAAATTTTTTTTTAGGGTCTTATGGAAAAATGTTTTGTTTAGAATTTAAAAAAATTAAATATTGAATTAAAGGTTTTTGAGAAGAGCAAGCAAGTGATTTTTTTTCTTTATCACATTCTTCTGATTTGAAACCATTGACATTCTTCCGATTTGAAACCATTGAGGAAATACACATAACATGTAACACGTACAATATACATAACAACACGTAAAAACACGTAACACTTACAATAATGATTATTGTACTCTAGACATTTTATTACAAACAGGAAATCTTACAAATTTTAATATAAAACATGTTGTATTCACTTATCTAATCATGTAAAACATATATATACATTCATGAAATTTATTTGGTCCACTCAATTATTTAAATGAAGAGAGAGAGAGAGAGATGATGGGGTTTAACGTTCACAAACTAGGTTATTTTGGGACTAACATGGTTCAAGTTTATTTTATTTATTTGCTTGCACGTAGGGGTCTTTATTAGCAGTGGCAGGAAACTGGAGAACCCTGAGAAAATCCACAAGGTTGGAAAGCATCACTATTCCGTGTCACGTGCAAGCTGAGAATCAAAATTACGCCATCTGACTCAATGACAGACATTATGTTGCAACACGCACATGTTAACCATATGGCTACCCAACCCAACCCCTTTATCTTAAATGATTTCCCACAACTCATGAAATAGGAAGCAGGATTTCAATAGGTGTTCCCAAAGAGCAATTCAAATTT